GGGGGGGGGGGGGGAATATTTAAGCCGCCTTCCAAGGTTCGGAACCCGAAGCCATGTGGGGCCATGCAGCGACCCGTCCCGAGGTCTCTTCCAAAGTCAATGCCCGAGTCGGGCGAGTTATATAGGTGCATGTACTTATTTGACACCCGTGGACGTATGTTGATGTGTTTACTTCTATCTCTTACTCTTTCTCTATCTGACAAACTATACCCAATCATACAGGTTCCAAGCCATTTCATATTCCCTTCCGCTTTCTTGCGTTCGCTCCTTGTATCTATTTTCTTACATTTACCGATACAAAATTGCGCACCATCATGCATGATATAGACACTTAACATTAGACTGAATTAGAAACATGTGTTTCTTTCAAAGATCGTGCATAGCTCAATCTGGCTTTGTATCCATCACATTTACCATCATGGGATGAGAGGTCACCCAAACATGGATTCATAGCCAATATGAATTAAGGAAGGTTTGCCCGTCGGGCCTTTTAAACAGCAAACAGCATTTATTGGAAGAAGACATAACCAAGTTCAAAGAAAACTGACTATGAAAGGACCAAAATGGCTCAGGGGAGTTGTTTGAGTACATCGTCAATTGCCAGAGCGGTCCCATTGACATCCTCGATGATCATCATGTGGCCGGTATTGAGCACATACCGTGATGGAGTTTTGACAGAAGTTGTCATCAATTCAACAAGCTCGTCAGTGACATGAACGGGAGATATATTATCTTCCAGGCCACCTATCACGCAAACAGGGCAGATAATCGACGAATAGTCGGGATCGACATGGGTGTCGTCACATAAAGCATCGCACATCTGCGCATATCCTTCTGGGTCGGTTCGAGAGGTGATGGCTCGGAGTAGAGCTCGAGATAGGCCGACAGTTCCCGAAGGTATGTTATAATCCACCCTTTCATCAACATGCCAATGAAGACCCTTCGATCGGGCAGCGCGAGAGAGTTGCTGTGTGAAGCTTTTGGAAAGCCTATCAACTGCTCTGGTCCTGCCAGCTCCGAGGACAAAAAGGGCATCCACCCGATCTGGATTGCGTGCTGCAACCATCATACTGACAATACCGCCTGCACTGTGACCAACCAGTATAGCTGTGGAAATCGTGAGATGATTCATCACGCTCTCTAGTATGGTTACCAGGAGCGGCATGGTCACTTTCTCGACTGTATTGCTCAGACTACTGTGCCCATGACCCGGCCAGTCAATGCGTACCACTGTGTGGGTCTTGCTGAAGATCTCCATAAGCGGATAGAACACATTCGTGCTGGCTCCCAATCCATGGGTCATGATCATGTGAGGACCGTCACCGTCAATTTCGACGAATACATCCACGCCAGCGATGGGAATAATGATAGACATTCTTTGAGCCTTATTGAGTACTGTGGTCGACATGGTCGCTGTTTTATTGATTAATTCGTTGGAGTGAAATCCGGGGTTTGAATTGATGAAAGATGCGATCGATCGCTTGAAGATGGGTGCAGGATACAACGACTGATCAAATCTGGTTGTAGGAGAAGGTCAAGTTATATAGACTTTCAGCTACCTTTTATGTCCCCCCCCTAGTCCTCCATATTTGCTATACTCGCGGGTAGGTAGATTTCCAATGGCTGGCAATCTCGGCCGAGATGCGTGAAGTAGATTGTTCAAGCCTCAAAGGGTAGATAGCCACTAGATAACAGTGGTAACATGAAATAAAGTGATTAGACAATCTTTCAAATGTTATACTATTTTTCCACAAGATTTGATTTATTGTCTTATGTCGCAGCACCCATGTTCTGCCTATCAATGTCACCAAACGCGGCTTCTTCCACACCCGTCTGAGAAGGCACATGTATATGTTGCAACACATCGATCTTCACGCACGAGATTATCTGCTCCAGATCAAATTCCCCGCGACTCCCAAGCGATATGGTATCCCTCAATTCCAACAAGCATTCGATTATCCTGACACCTCTTCTTGAAATTTGACTTTTCTCGCACGTGTCTTGCAGCGACTGCAACAGTTTTTGGACCAGGGTTTGAATTTCGTCGCTTTCAAACAAGGCAAGCTCGTCGGCAGATGTGAAGAGCTGTTCAAATATAAGAGCAATAGTTGCTGTTATGATATGCGTGTTTACCGTCCACATGCTACGAGCAGTCCAGGTATATTCATTGTCAGGAAGGGCAAGTATGGACTTAAGGCTTCGTCGAGCTATCGGGAGACAGGATAGCTTTTTATGATGTTAGTTATGTCACAGGTGACCGTTGAGTAAATGTAAAGGCACAGACCTTTGTGTAAGAGAACCAAGGATTTCGAAAGCAGGATATTTGAAAGTGGCGATGAATGCTTAGGAACTAAAAGAAGTGTAAGGGTGGAATGATACGGCATCAACGCTCAATATGCGGAAGCTGGAGATACATACTTTGTGCGATAAAGAAAGCTGTGTTACTTCTTTTTGCTGTAAAATATTTGAAGGTAGGGTGTTATCTTGAGGTCTGCATTCGCGGAAGAAAATCGGCATTCGCTTGATGATCTTTCTTAACTCAGTATCGGCTTTTATGATTTCTTCGTAGAGCCTCCGTTCGCCGTCAGGTATTTGAGCGGGATGTCCTAAGATACACAATCGATCTTGAGTCTGCCAAAGTAGAACGGCAACTAGAGAAATTGTGTTAGCAATATAGTCTGTAGGTTTTGCTGCTGGTATCTCACTTTCGTTCAGTACAGCCGTGTAGCTGCCCTGGGTATATCTGTCGATTTCGTGCTCCAAAATCCCATTCTCGACAATTTCCAATGGTGAATCAACACAATTTTTTGGTCTGGGCGTATTAAACTGCGTTGCGTGAATGGTGTAGGTGTTCAAAAAGGGTATCTGAAGCCAATCCTGCCGAATGAGGAACCACCACACCCTCTTGCTTACTTCGCGATCAATGAGATCTCTCTCGATTCTTTGTGGCTCTACTGATCTGCCCGTGCCTTCTGTTTTATCTGCCCCCAGGCGATGAATACCGAGGGATTGCGCGATGCGAATAGCACAGGCCATTAATGTCGAAATCAAGTCTGATTCACCATAGTTGTGTCCACAATGGATGAGCATACAGATGGTTTGTATTGAGAAAATGGAATGATTGATCATGAACTTTGCGGTGTGCAGTGATTCGATGCTGTTTTGATGTAGCCGCAACGCAAGTGGTACTGATTCATAGTTAGAAAACATAGATACATAATTTTATCAAAACGAGCTTGGATTTCCTTACGCGGATCAACAATTTCACATTGCTGCAATAATTCTGGCGACGTAAGATATATAGTGGACTATATAAGATTAATAAGAAGGAATAGCTAGAAGTGGAATATATTGTAAACCCACGGAGAGTACTGTGTAATAGAGAGGCAGCCAGAGTGGGCTGATTGGAGTCCCCGACTCGAGGAATGCGTCACATTGCTCGCGGAAGGTAGGCATATGAATAACATTGTGCATCCAAGAAATGTTTTTCTCATGGTACTCCACCAGCCAGCGGGCCTGAGCCGGTGTGACGATCTGATCGGCGACGTTTGTGAGATTTATGAGTAACGAAGCAGGCGATTCCCGGGCCAAATCACGCCCGAGCCTCATCACACGCTGTCTACCGAGCGCAAGAAATTCGAGAGTGATAGCAGTTTCCTGTGAAACTCCATTGATCAAGCCATTCTGTAAGGGTAAATGTCGAGAAAGCTCTTGCTCGGAGCTACTTGGCGCGCTAACTGTTTCTGTAGGTCGGGGGGATGGGCTGACTGGTGCAGGGCCACTGTCTGACCCGAGCCTCATAGGGGTTGAATGCCTATCTAGGCTACTGGAATTTGCATGCAATATTTCCATGTCCTGTTGCATTGGAGAAGAACGAAATGAAGAAGGGGCAGAAGGGGGGAAGGGGTTGGAGATATTGTGAACACCACCTGTTCTCTGGTCCACACCAATTGATGTGTTGTCTCTATTTGACCGCATCGCTCTATCAAACTCTTTGGCAACTCTGCGGAGCTGAACTTTCTCTCGATAGCATAAGTGACTGTTGCCTCGATCTACACAAGCACTACACGGGATCACCTTGGAACACCGCAGCTTGCGACGGGCGCATTCCGTGCATGCTTGTGGTCGTCTTTGCGTGAGACGCCCTCTGGAGGTAGGAGTGTTGTGATCGGAACTCTCCATGGCGACGAGGTACTATGTATTCCGAAGTTGACAGGAGGATGACGGGAGTAGCGTGGTCGCACTCAAATAACTAGTCGGCCGAGATAAAAGCGTTACCTAACTACCTTATGATAGGTTTACGTAATCAACCTAAAAATATTCGTGGGGTCATTGATATTGCCACCCTCTTGGTACATTAAACCACGCACTCATCTACTTTGAAGTCGAATATCTTGTAATTGATTTCCTCTTGATAGGCTAGTTAAGTTCGCTTTCATTCATCATCACAAATAAGAAAAAAAAGTGCAGATTAAAGAAAATATACCCAAGATCTCGAGCCGATGAAATTGGCGGTTTTTGGCCTTCATTTCTCACACCTTCTTACCTCTCAACCTATGCATAGGCCCTCTCCGCGTCTGCCGACAAGTCTGTCATTGCCTTTGTGTTATTTGCACCATATGTGTCCGCGTATCGTCCTGTAATCCACTCCTCGACCGAAACAGGTGGGTACTTTGCACCGCCACTGGCTTCCTCGCAACTCGGCAGGCATTTCACAACAAACTCTGGGTTGCCAGAGAAAAAGAAGGGAACGGAATAACGCTCTTTTCCTGTTTTGTTGATCACGCGGTGTAAATTGGACATATAAAGGTCGTTGGTCCACCGCATCATCATATTGCCAAGGTTAACGACCAGGGCACCTTGAAGAGGCTCAACGTCAACCCAAATTGCGCTTTCTTTGTTCCAGACTTGGAGGCCACCGATCATGTCTTGCAAAAGAATGGTGATGCCACCAAAGTCGGTGTGAGCCCCAATTCCTAATTGCCAATCGTTAGCCCCTTTTTCTATGTTGCACAAAATATATAGATTACTTGCCTCTCTCATCGGCAGATGCATCAGTCGGCTGCGGAGGATAATGAAGTAGACGCAATATGGCAATGGGTGTGTCAATATACCCTTGGAAAAAATCCTCATCCAAGTTTAGTGTAGCAGCCAGAATCTTCAAAATATCGTGTGCCAGCTTCTCCATGATTGCGAAATAGCTTTCGGCGGTCATCTTGAATGATTCTGGGTTTGACACCTCGTCGGGATATTTGTTAGGTCCCATATTGATTTTACGTCCAACGACGTAAGGGTGGTCGAGAGATAGGTTCGTGCCAAAATAGTAACCCTCTTTCAAGTCACCCTCGGTCTTTTTCTCGAAATTCTGAGCCCGTAATCGTTCATAGCCACGGTTGAAGCCGCCAATTTCTAACCAGCCGCCATGTTAGCAGGGAACTTTTGCTAATATCTGCTATTCTATGGCCGATGGAGTGACTCACCCTTATTATACTTCTCCTTGATGTCTAAGGGGAGTTTGAAGAAGTCTTCAGACTGCTTCAAAATATCCTCCTGTAAAAACTCCGGAACACCATGGTTGATAATCTGGAAGAATCCAAAGGTTTTGCAAGCAGATCGAACCTGTTCGAGAAGATCTTGTCTTGCGGCCTGATCTTTGCTGTAAAAAGCTTTGAAAATAAATGTTAATTGAAATGAACATTATCACAGTAGAGTTAGACTTTAAGTAGTGAACATTCAACATACATGATATGTCAATGATCGGGGGAGCTTGTTCGGTCGGCATATCTGCGATTTTTGTAAATATCGATACTGTTGAATGTTTGTGTCGGAGAGCAAACAATTCAGATTTATAAACTTCGTTTTCAATGGTCCTTTTATGTCTTTTATGTTACTTGTACTCTGCCAATCGTCGGCCGAGATAGGTAAAACGATAATACAAGAGGCCCGCGGGGTCTTAAACAGATTCCCGGTCGAGTTTTCCCCTTTACATTATGCCCAATGCCTAATTAGGGTATTGCAGTAGCAATCTGCCATACTTCTTTGTCTACTCCACGGCCGAATATCCCCCATCTATTATAATACTATCATTCATCCGCTTATTGTGGTTCTCTCGGAAGAGTCATGATAGATCCGCCCCAGACAGCCCTATTGCAGTCAGTATCGCAGAATATTACATGATGTTAGATTAATACAATTCGCCTAAAAATAAATATGTTTCAGGCTCTAGAGGGATACGATTATATTGACAAAATACGTATGCTGAACTGGACTGATCCTCTTAGATTCATTTGATATTTTCGCCGTCTACTATTACTTACTTCGTTCTTTTCTTGTGTTTTCCTTCCAAAAACAAGGGTGCGATTAGATTCAGAGAGAACGTGGTAAAAAGAAGGTGCACGGGTATTTGGTCAACATCTAGTCTTAACTCTCAACAAAAATCGACCGAGGGAAATAAAGAAGTTCAAAACTGAACATACCAACATTCATAGATTCACCGTGTGCGACTCTAGAATACCCGCGTTTGCCACACCCAGCGTGCTTAGATACTTGAATGTCTTGCTGTCGACATCGCCAAAGACTTTTGTGGCATCCTTTTGTTCCACACTACCCCAGGTCAGTCTAAGGCGGACTTTGAAGTAATCCCTATGTTTAAGTGGTTGGCCATTAGCATCATTGGGGAGTGCACTGAGCCGAAGATTGGTATCTGCAACGATCATGATCAGTTGATTGAAGAAAATTATGTGCGATGGCAAAATGCGTACCGAGATTTGGGTGCACAAAGTAAGGCATACTGTAACGGTCCTGATCTCTTGGCAACTTTTCCCAAGAAATACGGTGCATAGTAGATTTGAGCTGCTTTCCGGTCCAAAGAGAAAGAGCGTCACCGATATTGACGGTAATTGCGCCAGGAATGACAGGTACTTCGTGCCATTGATTGCTGGGGTCACGAACCTCTAGGCCTGGTGATTCTGTGAATAGCAGAGTGAGGCTTCCCCAGTCAGTGTGCTCGGATAACCGAGGAATCAAGTCTCGTGGCTGCTCTTCCATTTTGGGGTATTTGATGAGTTTGAATGTGTTCCCTGGCAATGCTTGACTGTGGGAAGCCTCGAAGAAGTCTTTCGGAAGACCCATATGAACAGCGAAGCACGACAACATCATGAGATTCAAATCGTTACACTGAGCCTTGAAGGCTTCAGTCTCAGCCAGCCTTTCTCTATCCCACCAGGAGTGAATGTTGTCACTTTTAGATAGTTGTCCAGCAGGAAGTCCAAAGGACATGCCTTCTGAAGCAGCGAACCTTTGAATAAGTTAGAATCAGTAATTTCCTCTTCCTAGTCTGGCTGTTGCAAATTGAGCTCTTACGTGGTAGCTGTATGGCCATCATATCCGACCGGATCTTCATTCAGTATCTTCTTAGACTTGATATCAATCGGAAGGTCAAAGAAGTCACGCGCCTTTTATTCTTTATATCAGTCCCAGCATTGAAGGGTTGTCATTTCAGAGGCAAGTACCTGGTCAAACATCCGACTAATTCCATTAATAAATACCATAGTCTTTCACTATGAAAAACCCCCATTCTTGGCTGGCCTTGAAAATATTCTCGGAAATTTCGTCAAATTGGGAGGAGAAGTGTTTCAAGGAGATAATAGGAAAGTCCATTTTGCAGGAAATGATGCGTAGAGTCTTGGACGACGTGGAAACGCGTGCTGCGTAAAGGCGCAAGTTGCCAATTGAAGCTGGAAAAATCCTAGTACTGAGGGTGGTCTCTATGTTGGATTTAACTGATTTTTTGGGCCATTGAGGTTCCCACTTTTAAAGCATACACTTATTGCCAAGAAGGATAACTCGCCCATCACGATATCTGTATCTATACCCGTATCCTCCCGATTGTTACCCGCGGCCGAGATTGGCGATAAGAGTTCGTGCCTTCAATCTCACTCGTTGATTGTCTGTTCCATATTACAGGGCGGAACCGTACAGAATCTCTTATGTTGACAAAAAAAGTTCAGATAGAGGGCATCCCCGGAGATATCCTATCATGATGTTCTTGGTTTCATGATTTTAATGAAGGTTTGGCTGTCTGATATCGTGATGTAGCGTGGAATATATATAAGGGACTATCATCACCAGTCATTGACACTAAGATACAACAGAGTGTAAAAAGCATTGAAATTATGCCCACTCATGAAGAAAGAATCAATGAAAATGCACATCAATGAAGCAAAGGCGCGATTATCCTCGCTCCACGCTTGGAAACTACCGAAAGAGCCTAGTAGTCTAGCACCTCCTGGAGTACCGAGCAGTAAAGGTAAGTAATGCCCAGTTGCGTCAATCAATGCGATGCGGATAACTAATGAGGCAAGAAAGATTCCGATCCAATCCCTCCTGGGCTGCAGACTTGGAATGGCCTCGACTTTGTGAACTATTGGTTTTCTGACCTCGTCAACATCACCAGCTGGACTATTGGGACAGCTCCACTTCTTGTGGGATTGAGCACCGTGGATGCTATTCTCATTGTCATGCTCTCGGGAATTTGCAACGGATTGCCTACAGTTTTGAACGGATATGTTGGAAGTGATTATCATATTCCCTTCCCTATAGCCGTGCGGTCAAGCTTTGGGTATTACTTTGGGAATTTCCCGGTGTTCTCTCGGGCTGTTCTCTCAGCCGTCTGGTTCGGTGTCAATTGTTATTACGGACTCTTTGCAATGACCGAGGCTCGTTTCTTCCTTCCGTGTTAATTTCTATTATACTGACGTTGAACACCAGGCAATTGCTGCGATATGGCCCACATATAGGAATATTACCAATCATCTGCCCGAGTCAGCTGGAATATCAACACAACAGATGGTGTCATTCTTTCTATTCACCAGCTTGCACATTCCATTCATGATAATTCGGGTTCAACGACTCAAGTATGTCATACCCTCTTTATGTAGTCATTGGAGCGAAGCTGACCTTTTCAAAGAGGGCTATTTCTGGTCAAAACTATATTGATTATCCCAGTAAAGTTGCCTTGGGTCTGTCATTGTATAGAAACTCACTCTTGATAGGTATCTATAGCGATGACTGCCTGGATCTGTGTCAAAGCTGGTGACGTACAAGGGATTTTCAACCAGTCCGCAAAATTGTCAGGAAAAGCGCACAAATGGCTATGGCTTGCAACTTTCTCATCTACCACAAATTCCTGGCTGACTAGTGCGGTAAACATGTCGGATTATTCAAGGTTTGCTAAAACAAAGTATGTTGGAAATCGAAATCGCCTTTATGAAACCAAACATGTCACTGACATGAAAAAGGAGCCGGGGACAATGGTACCAGGCTTTGGCTATCCCCGTAATCAAAACTGTCTACGCGGTTCTTGGTCTCGCTGTCGTTGGTGCTGGACGGGTGCTTTACGAAGAGGACATATCCAGCCCAGTCGAAATGCTTCCATATTGGGGCCATACAGGAGGCGGTCGTCTCCTTGCCTTTCTCTGCGCTATCCTCTGGATGGTTGCCCAGATATCTTGTGATATTTCTGCCAACTCAATCCCCTTTGGTCATGATGTCATGTCCTTTATCCCAGCGTGGATGACCATCCGACGTGGTTCCCTTCTCTGTCTACTTGTCGGTGCATGGGTTATGGTGCCATGGTTGATTGTCAACAGCGCTTCCAAGTTCCTAAGCTTCATGTCGGCTTATGGGGTGTTCATTAGCCCTATTTGCAGCATAATGATCGCGGACTATTTTCTCATCCGACGAAGAAAGTTGAATTTGTCTGACCTATACCACCCTCATGGCTGTTATCGATATAGAGGTGGGATCAATTGGCGTGCGTTTGTGACGGAGTTCAGCTTCGCCGGAATCAATTTGCCGGGTGTCGTCAACAACCTCGCCCCGAGTGTTGTGGTACCTAGCGGACTGGCTCACTTATATCAGATCAATTGGTTTGTGAACACCTTTGGCTCCTTTTTCGTTTATTGGTGTCTTTGCACGTTGTGGCCACCTCTTGACTCTCTTGATACCAAAATACTGCATGACTTCGTTGAAATCGATGCTGGTGGTAACGGAAAATTGAATTTGGTCTCTGAGAAGGAAGCAATCAATGATTCAAGGGTTTGATGTATTAGTCTTGGTGAAGTGGGATTATATGGATCCAATAGACTGCCGTCATGTTTTTGCTCTTGTGACACACCTACCGCATATGCTAATAGTTGACTTGATTAGAAGAGGCAGTAGTATTGCGTATCAGAGTGCGAATTATATAACTAGGTCGCAAGTTATGTTATCACACAAGAAATATTCGTAAATGTAGTAGGCTCAGGCTGTTAGCTGGCAAACCCCGAGCTACTTCTTCATATCAGAGACATAAAAAGGGGTTTTTGTTTATTTTATTTTATTTTATATCTTTCTCTAAATTCTGGACTTTTGTTCTTATAATCTCGTTGTTCTGATTCCCCACATAGCCCCAGTTGTTTGACCTAAGCAACGCTAAGCATTGCCCCGGGAGACTCCCGCCATGGGGTCCAACCTGGACAACTTAAGTAACAACATTGAAGACATCACAGAATCCCTCGCACTGACACCCTAACAACCACCAACCTTTACGTGAGGATCATTCATATCTTAATATAGCACATCTCTCAATTTACCAGATAGATTTGCTTTTATTGGTACACTGCCTGTTCGAAATGGCATAGGCGTGGTTCCAATAATACTAAAGGAGTGATGGTGAGACGAGTCCGAAATTAAAGCACCGAGATAGCGGAGATACCCGGCAGACCTTCTGCACATGGGCTGTGAGTCATCGTGGTGCAATACCATCCTGGTCAGACACACCCAAGTCAAATGTAGATTAGCTTAGTTAGCCTCTCTTCCCCCTCCTTGTAGCTGTCGCGTATTCACAAAGCTGACCTTTCTGCCCCTCTAACTGCCCCTCTAACTGCCCCCCTTCTCTCAACATCATTCCAGTCGCGATTATATTCGGGAAACTTATGAGCCGGCCTGGGAGACTGAACTAAAATCAAAATGACCCAAGTTGAGCAGGAGAGTGCCATATCAGGGACAGCTCCAACACTAGTTGTGCGGTTTCTGCATGTAGGCGTTCAGCTGATTGGTCAACTCTATGAAATACACACCCTTTATAATGATGAACCTGTGAAGGAGTGGGATGCATGCGACCTACACACTCAGTTGACCATTCTGAGTGACAGCATAGGGGTCGGCTATCCAAGAGAGATTGGACCGTTATCGGAACAAGATCAGGCATTAGATGACCTCCGCGCTAGTAGTCACCTCACTCTCGAGATTATCTTATCTCGACTGAAGTTGATATTGGACTTCGGGCCTGATCCACCACTCCATGCTGGGGAACTGAAGAAATTTTGGCCCCGAGAAGATGTTAAAGGATTGGAAGAACGGATAATATCTCTCAGGTTGGAACTGGGGGTGGCAATCTCGTCAGTGGAAAGGTATGTCCTTAAACTATTTTTCTTTTTTCGCACACGGCAGACCTTTTTTCAAGTAACTAACCATCTTTTTGAAACAGTTCCGTCACCATCCGTGAGGCTCTCCTCTCCTTGGACATTACCCGAAGCGAGGAAACACCCAAAGACCTCCCCTTGCTGGACCAAAGACGAGAGGAGAGCGAAAGGTCTTCGAAACCTAGGATTGTGACCCTCTTTGGTAAAGATGCTACCGGGGTACAGAATGCAGTGGCATATAAGGAGGTCGACAAAGTATATACGGAAAACACTCTGTTCACCGATCACGAGACGACCATCCAAGACTTCTTGCTAGAAGCTATAAAGTTCTCATCAATGACGGATCGAGAAGAAAGTGTCACCGTGGCACATAATAAAACCTTTGATTGGATATTCTCCTCTGACGAACCGACCTCCCTCTTTCAGGGGTGGCAGTCAAAGAACTCTCTCAGCGACTGGCTACAAAATGGGCAGCACAAGGAGGGTATATATTGGATTAGCGGCAAAGCAGGATCAGGGAAATCCACGCTGATGCGATTTGTAATGCACCACGCCAAAACAATGAGTCTCCTTCGCTCATGGGCGGGGGATAACTGACTCATCACCGCGGGTTTTTATTTCTGGATCAGTGGCACCTCAGAGCAGAGATCTCAGACGGGCTTGATGCGCCATCTTCTATCCCAGCTCCTGGACCAGCAAAAACATCTTATCCCGATGGTCTTTCCTGAGAGGTGGAAACACATTCTTTCTCTGAGTACGCGGGAACGCGTCAAGGCTTCAATCTCATGGGAACTCCCTGAGTTGACAACTGCTCTGAAATCATTTCTCGATCATGCAGGCCGGAAGAGCAATGTTTGTTTATTTATTGACGGACTAGATGAATTTGCCGGTGACCATCAACAAATAGTGGAATTCTTCAAGGATTGTGTTAATTCATACACTCACGTCAAAGTCTGTCTATCCAGTCGACCATTTCCCATTTTTAGCGCCGCTTTTGGGAAGAATCCCAGGCTTGAACTCCACGAACTGACCCGAAGAGATATGCTTCACTTCGCCCAGGATCACTTATACAGTGATCCCTCGATAAGCCAACTTATCATCCAAGATAAACAGGCAGCATCACAGCTCATTGATAGTATTGTTGAAGGGGCAAACGGCGTCTTTCTTTGGGTGATGCTTGTGGTTGAGTCTCTACTGCGCCGTGGAAACTATCAAAGTGTCTCGCAAATACATGAATACCTGGGCCAACATCCCACCGATTTGGATGACCTTTTCACGCATTTTATTTTCGACTTCGCATCTAGGGATCAGATGTTGGTCACGTCGCGCCTGTTTCAACTTCTTCAGGCTAGACAAGAGGCATTTTATGCCACCCAGAAGCAGGATGCAACATCAACAAGCCTCTGGGACTTTGCTCTCGCAGACCAATTTGAGGAGATCATGATGTACGTTCCAAAACATGTGCAACAGGCCACAGAGCAGGACGTCATCCGTATATGCGAAGTGACCAAAGCCCGGCTGTCAAAGGAATGTGCAGGGTTGATAGTGGCGCACACCTCTGGCTTGTCAACAAGCATGATTCGGCATAATACACCATCGCCGGCACAGCAGCTAGGGTGTAGCAAGGTTTCTTACGTCCATCGAACCGTGAAGGACTTTTTCTCACTACCTCATGTTCGGTCCCGACTCTTGGAGCCCATGCTAGGATCAAGCTTTGAGCCCCATATATCGCTTCTCACGTCAATTATTCTCCAATTTATACGGCCACTAGATGAGTTTTATCCCAACCGACAGATAAATGACCGATGGCCCAACATACTCCTGGCATTCACTCATGCACGACTATCTGCGAATCATTGGCAGTCACAGGTGGTGCTTATTCCCGAGTTGGACCGAGTCCTGTGTCAACATTGGGCGTCCCGGGAGTCAATCGAATATGATCATTGGGCACGAAGCCTTTTTTCATCGTACGAGAGACGAAAGAACCTCAAATTTTACGATCCATTTCTCTCGCTCTCTGCTAAGTTCGGCCTAGCAACGCTAGTACGTGAACGCACCCGGAAGGATGATAGTACGTTGTATGGCAATGGCAATGGGATACCCCTTCTCGGCCATTGCATTGAAATGCTCGCTAGTCAGCGGCAAACTATCTACCCTTTATCCAACCCAGAAATAATCGGTGACATTCTCAGAAGCGGTGCCGATCCAAATCAGCCCTACCAAGACCTAAACGGAAAGAATCAGACGCCCTGGCTGGTTATTCTGGATTATCTACGAGAAGCAGATCGTCGCCAGTGGATTTTGTACTATGATACCAGTGAAAATGGCATTTCTCGTCTGTCAGTGATTGTATCCCTATTTCTTGAGCACGGCGCCGACCCCAATGGGCTACTTGTTGAGACCAAGTTTGATCGCTCGGCTTCTGCTTTAGAGGTCATCACTGCCATTTACCGGAAATACGCCGCTCCACAATTTAGCCAACTTCGCAAGGTATTGAAAGACAAGGGGGCACATGAACGAGAAGGGCATGACATTATGTATCAAGTATATGGTAAATAACGTGATCCCGGCCACCTGAACATAACTATTATACACTTCTATTTATACAAGCAATCCTTTTAACGGAAACAGAGAATATGACTATAAATCCGCCCTTCGGTAATTGCCCTCGGGTTATTTTCAGACAAAGAGAGTATAGTAACTCGCGCAGGTGGGAAAGATATGTCAATTGTTTGTTGTGGGGCTTGTAATCGCCAAGAGGCCCCGCCTTCTGACTCCGTGTGGTGCGTTGATTCCTCTTTCTGACAAACATTCCCAGTCGGTCACATTCTTTTGCACAAGCGTATCATTCAAAAATGACGAAAACTATTCTAGATATAGTCAAGGAATGCGACAAGTGAGCAATTTCTATAAGAATACATCTTCCCGTTTTATGCTAACGTTGATGTTATTTGATAGTTTCCTTTCACACGATGAACCCACATCTCGGTCAGGAGCCCTGGCGAAATGTTATGCCTTTAGAGTGAATGGTTGCAGTGCGATATTGGGATACATTCTTCAGGAAATTGTTGAACAGATCCAATGGTCGGACTCATGGTCAATTGATCATCAGCAACAAAGTGTGACGTTGGCTACTCCAGCTACGGCCACAGCCGATATGCGCTCTCGGGTGCTTGAGGATAGCCTCGAATCCACTAGAAGGTTGGCTATAATATCAATGCTAGAAAGCTGGCGCGATGAAAAATTTCCGGTCTATGGCCCAGAAGGAGAGGTTCTTCTCGAAATAGAGCGATGTGCAAGTGCCTTGTTTGGAATTGTGACTTATGGTGTCCAACTTCTGTGTTACGTAAAGGATGAACGAGGCCTTCGATTATGGATTGGCAAGAGATCAGAAAGAAAACAAACTTACCCAGGCATGCTTGATAGCACAGCAGCCGGCGGTCTTGGTGCCGGGAAGCTACCTATTGAGGCTCTTATATGCGAAGCACAAGAAGAGGCATCCCTATCAGAAGAAATCGTGAAGATGAAAGTCAAGCCAATGAGCCACCTCAGTTATTTCCACGTCCGTGGGAATCAAGCTGGAGGAGAGAGCGGCCTATTTCAACCTGAGATCGAGTATACATATGAACTCGAGTTGGATCCAAGCATAATCCCAAAGCCAAGGGACTCCGAAGTGGAGTGTTTCAGATTATACACTATCGAGGAAGTACTCTATGCTTTGAAATGGGGACAGTTCAAGCCAAACAGTGCTATTGTTATTGTTGAATTCCTAATTCGACATGGGATCCTAAATGTTGAAAACGAGCCTAGCTATTCTGAAATTGTGTCGCACTTACATCGCAAGCTTGAGTTCCCTGTTCTGATCCAGCCGCCTTATTGAAACTCCTCTTTCCTCCACACATATTAATAGAGTTTATCTTCTGCATTCTCGATGATATCTTTGAAATTCATATATTATATTTTTAGAGTGAATTCGGAATGGGAAGCGGGATCGACGTTGGTGCCCCCGACGGAGCACCATCTTACACGTAACGGATGAAAATACTGCGTTTTAAGCTCCATAGGTGATGTGTTCATAGCCATTATGAAATGGGGAATTTCCATCGGAGACTAGTTGATTAGAGGCCGCGAGACGGAGCATAAACGGCGAAACTGCTCCGAAGCATCGAATCTCGGATCTATGGCTTTCCAAGAAGTTTTTACTTGGAAGTATATTCTTTTTAATAACCGACACCTCATTTTATCTTGGTTATATATTCCAAAAATTCGAAGTTTGTTTTTCATCCTCGCCGTATTTTCAGAACGCTGGGAACAAGCTGGGCCATTGCGGGATGTTTTCGACATCTTATCAGATTCAATTCAACCGGTCAACTTCAATTTTAACAAAGCAGAGGAGAATGAAATTCCCTCTTCGGTAGTAGACTGTATTAAGCCTATAATTCCTGCTATCATGTCCCTGATCGTAGACGACCATGTTTGCAGAATGATCAGAGAGATGATCTCGGAAAATAACCCATGAAATGACGGTGGAACGGTGGAACATGTGGCCAGGGATGGTCTTTGGAAAACTTCCATGATCCGCATACATGCCATCTTTGTGCTGATCAAGGAATCCATGGGATCAATCCAGAAGGAATGGGTTGAAATCCACATCAAAACTTTTGGTTATCTATGGGTACTAACACTGGGGCATCATTTGCTCCATTGGCACATGAGCTCTCTACCTATTCGGTCTTGTTTGGGTCTGCTGATTTTTGAAGGAAATATCTTTTTGCATAATAAAATACATTGGCGTGGCTGCGTACACCCGATCTCTGCATGTTTTGGCGCCCAAGAAACTCTGCCACAATGCTCAGGTGCATGTATAAGTACTCTCCTCTTCACCTTTCCCTATACATCGTTGACGCGTAGTGATCTAGCAGTAGATTACAGGTATAATAAATGGATTTGGCATTATTCTCGCCGGCTCTCCCAGCTTACACATGAAACAGCGCTACGTCTTGACTTCGTGCATCGCAATTTACATCGTATAAACCATACGATCGTTCGCTAGAGGGTGCTAATTCAATCGTCTGCAGCTTGGCAGAGAAAGAAAGATCGATGCGAGCAATTTTCTCAATCAACCCGGTCAATCCATCCATAATGCTTTATAGGACCATTAACCTACCATTGACAGGATCACCGTCGACTACCTATCATAATTACAATTTCTCTGGCACGGGAACGGTATTACCGTGCGATTGAGTCACCAATAACCCCGTTATAAAGTGGACGGGTTATTTAACCTTGGAGAAAGCCGTTTTGATCCTAGGCTCCTTATTTGCCTTCTCATTTGGTTTCAGATTGAAGTTTCTCGTCTATTAATTTGCAGTGGCAATAATGTATGGTGTTCTAGGGTTATATTTATTCTTCTGTGGAGATGAATGTACACAGTATCAGAGACCTCAGGAAATACTTCTGGTGAGCGTACCTAGGTAAGCAGCTTATGTTACTCAAGCATACTTTAATGATACCCGTGGACAATAACAACAGTTGGATTGGTGAAAACTGTGCCTGAATCTATATTCTCCAGTGTAAACAACGATGATCACAGTAGGTACAAACGGAGTGGCGCTGCACATACGTGTCTTGACAGCCTAACACTTACCCCTCTTATTAGGCTGAAATGAATAATGTTTTAGATGGGTGTTTTCATTAATATAATGCCTTCTTTAGGATCGTGAAAGATGAATTGTCTCCTAATGAAATTCCGATGTAAAACATTTATATGCGATACCCCAGCTTACTCCGCACTCTGGGGGGGAACCTCCAGGGTACCCCCCGCTCTGATTCTCCCGGTCCCAACGAGGCTCAAATGTCAGCTTCTTTTCAACGTATTTGGCTTTTCTATTGGATTTCGGAAGAGGCAACCAGGCAACCAGACAACCGGAAAACCAGACAAAAGAATCCCAACACATCTATTTGACCTGCGAACGACGTGATGACTCGATACTGCGCCGTAGCCAACATCTTGGCAAGCCAAACTCAGAAATAGTGGCTGAGCCGCTATAATTTATGAATCTTGTGCCATTTTCAACTTGCTGACATTCATCTTTTTCTGACTCTAGCTTCCCCGCCCCTTTGCCGCACACTATTCATCGCCCGTCCTTCCTCGAACAAGACCAAATCAATACAATCAGGCTATATTCACGGCAAACATCACTTCTGTCCTGGTTTTGTTTGTCCTTTCATCGGTCAGCACCAGCAAAATGAGCTTAGAGTATATACAAGAGAAGCTCAGAGAAGCGACACGCAACCCCGGCACAATAGAGGCATTCATCACGTATGAAAGCGTCCAAAAAGTATGGGCCGGGGATCAGCTGGAACAATTTCTGAAGACCCAAGATCCAACTCTGGATAAATCAGAGATAGATGCAGCGCGACGTGACTTATTGCGTATGATATCCATCCTCACGGGTGTCGTTCCCCGAGATTGGTCAGGATGGTCGAGGTTCAGACAGATCTTCTTCCCGTCAGATAATGTTGACGCCGATCGTCGTCGCGATAAAAATATCCTCACATTCACCGAGGAGGAACTTAGGGTCCCCTCCTTTCTCGGGGATACCAACCTGGCCACCCACTTCGTGGGTCACATGGGGACTTACTTTCCAATAATTTTCAACGACCATAAGAATGACGCTTATGGAAAGAACCCCCGGTGGCCACTATATAAAGAGGAGGATGTATTTCGGGAGGGTGGCTTCGGAGAAGTGACTAAGGAAATCATACCTCCGCGCCATATCATCCTGGGCTATGTGCGTGATCACCTCGGTATACCAGAGCTGCCGTATCCAGTAAGTTCCATAATACATGACTTGATGCGGTTAATTACTTACAGGTTTCCTTTTGGTGTAGGACAAACTCATAGTTGCCCGAAAACGCTTCCGCGACGGGAGGTTTCAGGCTGAAGTGAAACAATTGAAACTTCTCCGATCAAGCCTGTCCAGCCACAAGCGAATCGTTCCTTACCTTGCAATGTTCTTCGTTGGAAAGGAGTTGAACATCATCATGCCATGGGCGGACATGGACTTGGAAGATTTCTTGAACAACCGTTACAGAGAGATGCCATATACTTCACATCTGCTCGATGAACTTATCCAGGAGTCCAGCGAGGTTGCATCTGCCATCGAGTTCTTGCACGAAAATCTCCAATTGGAAAATGAAGGGGAGGACTCTCGCCACCTAGCAATCTGTCATGCGGATCTCAAGCCTAAGAATATTTTGGTCTTCATGCGCGAAGGCTCTCCTTCTACGGGGGTTTGGCGAATTTCTGATTTCGGTGTCTCACGAGTAGCAAATCGTGCTCTGTCGGCAAATGGGAGGCATGACTCGGGATACCCCACTAGTTTGATGAAGCATCCTCCAAAAGGGGGTCCATACCGGGCACCAGAAGAAAATGCTCAACGAAGGAGCGACATCTGGTCGTTCGGGTGCATACTAGTGCGTGTTTTTGCCTTGGGGCTTGATCCTGCCAGTCTGGCAGAACTTGACGAAAAGCGAAAGGAATCACCCGATGGACGCGCTCTGGACGATTGTTTCTTTCGAGGAGAACCTCCTACTCTCAATCCGAGTGTCGAAACTTGGATTGGGGGTTTAGCGACCCGATATGGCGCTTCCCATGACCCTGGTTTCCTTGAGAGAATGCAGAAACTTCTCCGCTCTATGCTTGAGGTGGATTTCCGCCGCCGCTCATCGGCAACTGGAGTTCGAACTGGCTTACACGAACTTTATTCCGCTCCCATACGTTCTGAGTCCAACCCACCACCGTCTATTCAGACTACTCCGCGAACCTCGGTGAGCGAACCATCAAGCACGTCAAGCCGTTCTCCAAGCAGTGCCAGTAGTACCGGCACAGTTGATCGACCCAGACCAGTAAAAGACGTGAGTGTTCTTGTCACTGTCATAAAGTCTGCAGGCATCAACCAAGTTCGTCAAACTCTGCAAGACGAGATTGATGTGGAACAGTGCTATGAGCACGAACGTCCTTTGATCCATGCTATCGAGAGGTCCGATGCTACTATAGTCAAAGAGCTTTGCGAGTATCAAAAATTACACAACCGAAAGTTGGACGTACGAACCCTCTCGTCCAAAAAGCAAACACCACTCTACCTTGCAGTTTGCAAGGGTGATTTCGAAACTGTGAGAGCTGTGATCGATGCCTCTGATTCTAACACCGATATCAATACTTTCTTGGACGAACTGTGTGAGGGTAAGACTCCGCTCATGCAAGCAGCCTTCCTCGGCCACGCTGGCGTGGTCTCCCTGCTTTTGGCACGGGGTGCAGATCACAGAATTTGCGTGAAAGAAGAGAAGTTGAATTGCCTACATTTTGCGGTGAAGCCTGACAATCGCGCTCAAGCAGACGTCATCATGGCCTTCAAAGACAAGATGGACTTTGATCAGCTTCCGCCCGGTACTCCACTCGATATTGATGGGAATCCATCAAAGACTCCAGGATATGAAACGCCGATGATGATGCACATCAACCTCGCACCGGCAGGTTCATATCAATCTTTGGCACCAGGCTCTCTGTGGCGACGTAAATTCAACGCACTCCTGGAAGGAAAAGCCGACATTAATAGGACCTACAATCCAGGAATAAGCTATTTGAAGGGGACCCCTTTGCAAGTTGCTGTGAAGGAAAGGAAGGCCTTGCTTGTTCGGGTGCTTGTTGATTCGGGTTCAATCCTTCCAGTGAACTACAAGATACCGCCAGGAATATCTCATGACATGAAAAAGTCTCTCAAGAAGGCATTAAAAAAACGTCCAGGGGCGAGATCCTAACTTATACGTGATATAATTTCTCTTGTTTGTGTTTTTTTCGCGGCTGTTTATATCCCTGGCGGTCGATTCTAAACTATTCAACTGTGGATGAACCCCTTTTCAATAATATTGACCTAATGTACCACCTGCAGATTCATAGCATATTTATATTTCAAAATCATACTTCTTCTCTATCTTGCAGAGGTATACTCTGCCTATCGCGCTGGCGTGATAACCTCCCATAGAAGGAACTCAAGTGGTCCAGAGCATGTTCTTTTGTAGCTCGACGGACTGTGATATTGTCAGCATAGAATCACGACAGAGCAAACCCCTCCCAATTGGAGTAGGCATAAAACCTTACATATCGAGTCCATGTCCTCTAGTGAGACGTCCTTGGTTTCGGGGACCTGGAATAGGTATTAACACCAAGCGCAGCGTCAAAGAAATAGACAAGACCAACCAAAAAGAAAATCAAGATGAGTGCCAATAGGTTTAAGCCTCTATAGGATAGTCAGTATGTAGCCAGATGAAAGATTGGAAACAGTCATCTCACGAGAAGAAGAAGAGAAGATTTCCCTCGCCGTGAAACTTCCTGGTCAACTGAGGCACAAAGAGTACTAAAATCCCAAGCCCAAGGAAATTGACCATAACACTGAAACTCATTCCCACCTCTGCTATTTATTAGTCCACGATAATGGTAAAGCAAAGGGAAGGATCAATTTACCGCGCACGCATAGAGGAAACACCTCCGCACTGAATGTAAAAGGAATAGGCCCAGCACCGATGGAGTACGAAAAGACGAAAGGCAAACAGCTAAAGATTGCTACCAGGATTAACCGAGTATGGTGGGCCGCGATTTTGAAGAAGCCGCCCACTGCGATCATGCTTAAAAGCATCCCAACGAATGACCAAAGTAGGAGAGGTCGGCGTCCACGCGAATCAATAAAGATATATGCAGGTAAAGTGAAAAGAAAACTTGCTAGACCGAACGCTGTTTTTGCAAATTAGTCGAAGCTCTATCTGGCCATTGTATTGATCACCTACCAAAATTGAACCATTTGACGATTGTTAGAGAAGTAAACAAGGAATCACTCGCTTTGGTCGAGTCAGTCTGGTCGGTATGCAAAAGCGAGGACGAATAGAATGCCAAAACATTGATCTGTTAGTTTGTCAGTCCAGGACATAGAATATTCCAGACGTGTATATAGCAGAACTTACACCACATAGTTGTTGCGACAACATTACGATCAAAGCCGCCGTACAGGCTCTTCGGGTTCGCGAATTGGTGGCGAGATACTTCATCCGCTTGAAGAAATTGCTTCTTTTAATCCAATTTTGATAGGCGTAGATTTCTTCTCGCTCTAACCACCATGACTGCCCTTCGTCAGGATTCCATACTATGACAGCCTCAGTCTGAAGCTGAGCATGGATGTAATAAAGGTCTCGGGCAGCTTGGATAGATGTTCCTCGGAGCTCAAGGAGGCTTTTATATGCGTCGGCATATCGGTTCCTCTGTATCAGAAATCGCGGGGACTCGGGACACATAAATACCAAAAATAGAAGGACGATAGCGGGAATTATTGCGGTCGCCAAAAGTACTCTCCAGCTGTCCATTACAATCAATGCGCAGAAGAAACCGAGAAATATTCCACTAGAAAAAGGTTAGATAATGGCCTGTAAAGATAGTGCGAAAGAACGCACAGTGCATCGAAAAGTTGCCACATCATCAAGACTTTGCCTCGGTGTCTATCAGGTGCTGCTTCGGCGGCAAATATAGGGGCTATTGAAGCTTTCGATCCGATCTATTTGGATGGTAGCGTGTCAGATAGTTGGAACGAGAGGAACGAAAAGACATGAAAATGAAGAAAATAATCAGCATACCCCCACACCAAGAAGTACCCGACAGAGAAGTAGTGTCTTCCATGAATAGCAATGAGCTGTTCCTGTGTTCAATATCCGAGTCAGTCGCTTTCAGGCAAGCTCTGCGGTTAAATATTACCTATTACAAGGGCGACGCAGAAAACAGCCGCAAAGAAGAGCGCCGGGCGTCTTCCAAATCTTTCTTGGAGTGGATCGCTCAACCATGTCCCTCTATAGTCGTGGTTAGAGTCGGATAAAGAGTGAAATGTCCAGGATACATACATCAGGCTTCCCGAAAGCCACGGAGCTGCGTTGATGAATCCAATCAAAAGCGTATCACTATCAGTATCGAGGCCAAGGTCATCCTGCCACTTCAAGAGAGCGCTGCCATTGATTGTTGACTGCTGCCATCCCCTATCAAAGTTGTTAAAACCTTCCTGGGATACCAGTTTGATAAGGATGGTGGACATACTGTGTGATTGCCGCGCAAGCCGTAGCCATAACAGTAACAAGGAGACCCCTAGTTTGCAAGAACGACAGATATTCCTCCGAATTTTCCCTCCCTATGGTCTCCCACTCCGCAGAGGTAAGCCCGGGCGGGACATTGCGGAATCGCTGTTTGGCTAGTCTCGCACCGCTGATGAGGGTTTCCACATCGACAACACTTTCGAGCCCAAGATGGCTGTGGAATGCGGTGACATCGGCCTTTAATTGGGCAAAATCTAGGTGGTCGAGTGGGTTATCGATTCTGATTGATCAAAGCCATTAGAGGTTGTTTGAAAGACAGGGTTTAGGGGTTTTCATGTGTTACGTTGGCAGATTCGAAGGTTGGGCATCTCCATTCATCTTGTAGCCTTACCAGTCGGGCCGTTTGAAAACAATTAGAGATCCAGGTGTACAACGGAGCAAAGGAATAATTGGTGAGATCTTTGTGAGATGATTTAAAGCATGGATCCTGGTCCAGGTGTATAATTGTAAATCCCTCTTGCTGACTCAATCCAGGTCTGAGGAGATCTATAAGAGCCTCCTAATTTCCACATACCCTTTCTTACATATTATGATGGCAATTTTAGCCGCTAAGGCGCACGGAGCGTATTTGACAGTTGATCTGACATCTTTCAAAGAAGCGGACGGACCACACCGAAAGCCACCCCGCCTGTGATAGACTGCGCTAAACTCGAACTAGGAAGGAGAATAGAAGCTGAATGACCAGTTACAAAAGAGGCAAATCCCGGATATCTGCGGAGGTCACAGCTAGTACGGAGTATATTAGTCTTGATAGAATGTGATTCATCCCCGGAATTACCCCATGCTTACTGCGGCTATCTTTCTTTCTCCACGTGGATTTTCCTGCAAAATATGGCTTTCACGCATTTTAATACCAGATGTTAAATACCACATGTAAATAGATTCCCGTAATCCAGTGTATTTGCTTTTGTTTTACCCCTCACGAACACCTGCGGGTGAAATTAACCAAGGTGACGATATGCACCTATCAGCGTATGCCGCGTCGTAGCGGGAACCAAAAGATGCATTGGCGACCACGAGATGTCAGAGCCCATGCATGAGGAACAAGCTGGAAAACTAATCATTGGCCGAGTTTGAGCATCCCAGCCACAGTTGGTCTGACTTGAACTAACCCGGTGCTAGGCGTCTGATGACTTACATCAAATAAATTAACAGGGAATCCGTGAACTCTTGGCACCATCTTAGGGCTATACGAAGGGGCTCTTCGGGAGACACCGGATTTGGTACTATGATGTCGAGGTGATGGATCCTAATCCATTACATTAAATCTTACTTTTCTGGTCGTGGGTCCTAATTCACATTATACTGAACTATATTTTGCGCTTAGCCTCCAGATTCCAGTCAACACAGCCCCCAAAATGTCCTCCATCCGTCCACGAACTGGATCAGTCTCTACCACACTCAGAGAAGGAATAAGCGGTTATATTAGCCGGTCAAGGCTTGAGAGTAGGCTTTACGAGATATTCGGGCGCAATATCAAAGTTGAAGTGAGCATAACTCTGTTGTTCCCATAGACAATCATTTTGAAGGCTAAGCCATATCTTGCAGTACTTTTGCGGTCGAATTAGTTTCCAAGCACCACGAGAAGTTGAAGAGGTCAGTTTCCCATGATCTGAACATAATATTTGATTTTCTTTTTGCTAACAGTTATTTCTCTAAATCTAGCATGAGATAGCGTACGCAGATTTATCAAGCCCGACACTCTTGATGGTTGCTGATCTGATATTTGACTTGAACAGGGACCTCTGCGAAGATGAACGAGTTAACTGAGGCTGAAGAACCACATTTATACCATTTTTATTGAACTGATCGGCAATTGGAATTGTTTTCTTCTGAATGAATTTTTGTTTGTCTTGGAATCTGCCTTGCGCCCTACGTATCATAAATTTGTTCGTCCCTGATAGGAGCCAAGTGGCTGTACCCTCCCTACCCGGGCTGTGCCCTACCTACATCGGCGTTCCCGCCCCTATTCTCGGCATGAGCGTGATGGCAAAGAATATACCTGTTGGAATTTAGCTCTCATATGATTCTAGAAATGACCTATGTAACCCAAATCTCAGCCCTCTTATACAGGGGTATAATCTTCTCATTAGTCGGGCGTAGGTCGCCTGTATGTATTGGCCGGCTTGCTAGGATAATGTATCAATGAACTCTTAGCTTTGACGCCAAGGCGTTTCTTTTTTATTTTTTTTCTTTTTCTTACCACAGCCTGCAGTTGCAATTTGTATTTAAGCGTGATTTCCCTTCCATATTTCATAGCGATAATTCTAGTAACTATTTCATCAAAGCCTTCTTAAATCGCAGCCTCACTCTCTATAGGACTATAAAATGGCTATCCACGCAATCTACCCTCCATTTTGTCTTCCTGAAGATTTGGCCAGCATATCTATTTACCAGAGCAATGGTGAGTTTAATATTATGTGAACCAACTGATCGCAGGCTTACTTTTTGTGCCTTATAGTTGACACATCAGATAAACTCATTCCTATCATTTTTAACGACAACGGCTTATTCCAAGAACATATTACAACAACGCCACTTCCAAAATTACGCATTATGTAAGATTCATATGTTAATTTATAGATTATTCCCTCTTGGCTCATTCTGATTTATGTGGGATTTAGCTCCATACACTCCAAGTCATCGATCAAGCCACTCCAAATATCAAAGGATGCTCTACAGGTGCTCAAGGACACCTATGATATTGGCGATCAATTATGGGACTTGACTTCGACATTCGGAGACAAACCCATGAGTGCAGCTGTAGGTGAAGGAGCAATGAAAGTCCAGAGTGGCGAGAATGGTATTCAAGGTGGGCTATTCCCCAGATCGTATTCATGTGCCCAAATGACCTAAATAATATTTTAGATATCTCTTACAGACTCACTTTTCCAACAGCAGTGGGGGTTCACAGTTGGACTATGCGCCAAATGGCTGTTTTCCACCGCCATGACCCTAATGAACTTCAAAATCTCTGGATATTCTTTCATGTGGGCCGTGATACACCCATGCAGAAAGAAATCGAGCAATATGCATCACTATCCCGGCAGGGGCTACGCTCAGATCATGCCTGGCATACACTTCATTCTTCGGTTTTCGCTTCTTGTCTAGATAATTGGCGTTCCTACGTTAACAGCCTAGGAAGTGATGTGGATAGACATGTGGGTATCTATCATTACTCGCTCATTCGCTTGTCTGACTTTTATTTTAGACTGATAAATCGCTGGACTTTATTTTGAGAAACATCGATCACTTTTTGACTGCTGGAGGTGACAGCAACTTGACGGCGATTCACAACACACGTGACCTTCTATTGCCTATTTCATACAGATTGAGGGTTATACTAGACACTCTCACGAAGCTAGGTCTTTTAAGCAGTGTTCTAAGTTCACAGTATAGCAGCACAGACAATGGCTTTCAAAAACTTGTTACTTGTGTGGCATACCACAAAGATCGTCTAGAGGGGTGTGCTGTTGGGGTAGAAGTGCTAAAGGAGAAGGTCAAGGATATCTTAAACATGGTAAGCAGCAATACCCACAATATAGTCACTACGCCCCTTGCTGACAGACACGAAGACTACATTAGGGTTGGATTTCCGGATGACCCACCAGATGCTCGACCTCAACAACAGAATGGTTGAATTAAACAACCGCATGCTTAACGCCAATGAACAGCTACTCCAACTTGGAAGCAGTAGCTTTGTCGACAATGCAACAGTCAAGGTAGTCACTATACTGACGCTTATATACTTACCTGCAAGCCTTGTGTCGGTAAGAACTATATCCCAATACCCCAAAACAAAATTTGTTCTCACAAATTCATAGTCAATTTTCGGGATGAACTTGTTCAAGTTTGATGATGGGACAACTGAGGAATTCAGAGTGTCTAAGCAACTCTGGATATATGTTGTTGCCTCAATTATCTTAGCAATCATTACACTCGGCATCTGGTATCTATGGACTCACAAAGAGCAGGTTAGAAGGCGCAATTTCCGCTTGCTGAAGCGCGTGACACCGCATGAGGCTAAGGGAGATTTCGAGTGAGACTTGGCGAGCTGCGTGGGACTGGATACTTTGAAATTCTGTGTTGGCCAGTTCAGCTTGAGAAGCGTTGACTTTGGGAGGGGGGGGAATTCGAGTAGTGAATCTTTGAGATATAAGTATAGATAGACCGCGTTGCTTTTACTAGAACTAGATATTTTTGCGCTAATATTTCCATGCGCTCATATACTTGGTAGATAGGCTGTTTATGGCAGCGATAAACAGTGAGAAGGGGAATATATATAGACCAGTTAGCATCACAGGCATAGCTTTGATTGAAGTAACTTGTGGTTGCTAAAAACCCGTTGAAATATATCTACTAGATCTACATAGTACGTACATTCTTGCATTCGCGTACTAGCCCATACAGTTGTCCCGCCCTCTGACACCTACATACATTCGAGCCGTGACATTATGGAGTGGTATGCGCAGCAGCCAATAATATCGGATGGAATCAACAACGTGGGATGAATTGATTGATTGAGAACAATAAGGGCTATCTATGCGACAGACACGTTGAGGCGTCCTCGCTTAAGGAAGTGAGGCTCGGGGGTTGACAATAACCGAGCTCCAGGAAAATCCAAAGCTAGATACAAAACCCTAGATCATTCACGAAGGCGCCTTTTAGGGAAAAAGAACGCTTCTTAGAACTTAACATAGCCTTTTCCTTTAACAAAAGTTGCATGCCACGGCACTTCTTCGTCTCCGTTAGCGAGATCGGCGAAGAATCGCGCGTGTGCCTCGCCGTCAAGGCTCATACCCTTCATGCTACCATCGGCATTGCGCTCATCAGCATAGATGAAGCTATCGAAAGACATTAGCAAGAATATCAATTATAGACCAGAAGTGAACCCACCGGTAACCATGCCCAGAATACAGCGTATCTGCCGTGGCAACCCAATATGCAGAGGCGGATTTACCAATCCCCAAATTCAGCATCAGAGGCATCGGAACGACGACCACGTTCTGCATGTTGCCCGTAAAGATAAATAGCTTCTTCGTATCCTCTGGAAGATCCACCCATCCCTTCACAGCCTCTTGAGCGGCTGCATAGGCAGACACAGTGTTGACGTTGAGATCAGCGGCAATACTCTCTGCTGGGATGGAGAAGAGGGTGTCGTCTGTGGGTGGCGTCAGGGCCGCAGCGTTGTACACCACGACGCTAGGCGGGCTCTGAAACTCGGCTTTGACTGCATCAAAGACTGCCGAGATTGAGGAAGGGTTGGAGAGGTCTGCCTTGATAGATAGATAGCCCTCTGCAGTTTTGCCGCCTGAGGCACTCCTGGAAGCGACAGCTACAGAGTAGCCGGTGCTGGCAAACTGTTTAGCTACCGCAGCACCGACTCTGGGCCCGGAGCCAAGAATGAGGATCACAGGTTGTGCAGACATATTGCCTTAGAGAAATATTAAACAAAAGATTGATGTTCACCGTTCTTGCCTGTGCAGGTAAGTTGGATTCAAGACTCATCTGGTTCTGCTCCTGGGGGGTTTCGTGATTTATAGCCACAAGTGCCCACCCACCCACCATCTCATCTGACAAATCATGAGTAGCATGCTACTTTCTTTTCACAGGATCATTGGTTCTGTACCGATCCCATGGCCCGATGACCAAGGAACAACGTTCAGAGCGTCTTGTTGATCCCGCGCGGGTTGTGGGTCTGTCAGATCATTAGGTAAGCCCAGATATTCGGAGGCTGGTTAAAGTACACATGCTTCAGGCAACAACCCCTTATACCAGCAGTGGCACATAGCCCACGGTGCGTACGCATGCTGCAAAGTCCCAGTCGACCTCTAAAGCATCCCTACGCTCCCATACATTCTCCATTATCTCCAGCGCCTTCAGAGTTGCACCAAACAGCCGCAGCGGGACCAGCGCCTGGACCATTGAGCGCAGGAGACACTCCTCATCAGGATTAGCGAGGCATCCAACTATGCAGAACGGCCACACCATGGTCCGCAGCAGCACAGGCGCCGGTAACTGAGCAAGCAACTCTATCGTCCGTGTCACGTTCTCCCTAACGGTGGTGCTGCCAGGCTGCCACCCGGATACTACGACGGAGAGATAGACCAGTGCTGCGTGAGCCCAGATGCGTGTAACTACGGTGCTACCACCCCCCAGAGTTGATAGCACGTGGTGGTTGTAGAGCATGAAGGGGTCAACCGGGTTGGGAGTTCTGGGTGCGTGTGCTGCGGCGTCAAGGCGGGCGAGGTTTTCGACTAGTACCTGCTTGATTTCCATTGCGCGCGCCACCAGTTCCATCGTGTCGAGCTGCCCAGTCTTTCTGAGTGACTTCTTCCACGCGTCAAGTGCAGCTATCTGGGCAATCTGCAGCATCACCCAGTTCTCGCAGCCGACGAATTCTTCTAGGCTGAGAGCAGCTTTCCCGCCAGGGCCACCGGTGGTCAACAAAAGAGCGTGATACACCTGTAACCTCGGCGCTTCCTCAAGGCACGTGCTGACGATGATATCATCAACAAGTAGCAGTGCGGTGAAGAAGCGGAAAGCTGCCTGGTCAGAATTCCAAGCCCTGCTCTGCTGGACCTTCACGGTCCAAAGTGGGTCTCCCATCCGGGTCAGAATACCATGAAATGTAAGTAATTCTCCGTCCTCGTTCCCATCATTGGCACCACACCCTCGAACTCGGAAAATTTTCCTGAAGAGAACAATGGCTGCATCAAGATGCGTGTGGCAGTTCTCAAAGTTACCTGCACTGACCTCAAATTTCAGTAGCTGGATGACGCTACCCATAATTCGGGAAGTCTCGATTATTAGATCTTGCGCGTCACTGGACGTGATTCCTTCGAGCTCTCGCTGAAGCATCCTGAAAGTCACATCCGTTTGTCTCAGAAGCTTTTCCCAAGCGAGCGTCTTACAAAACTCGTGCCCCGAGGTGGTATTGTCCAAGGTGACAGACATAAAGTACGAGCTAAGGCAAAGAGTGGTGTGCCACATGGTTTTATTGCGCACAGCCAGCTCCATAACCCAGGAGCGCCCACCTTCAAGGAGTGGAGGTCTGTAAAAGGGGAACAAGAAGGGGAAGAAGTGATCGAAGTAAAACATGACAAAGTGTCGGTCACGCTCTGCGTCTGCTGATGCCTGACCAGCCGAAGTGTCTGCAAACAGCCTACCCAGTCCATTGTAGCTAGGCGTGGTCGCAGCCGAGTTATGGTGAGTATTGAAGTGGCTTGTTGAGGCTGCTCCGCCGTCAGACCATGTATACGTAGAAGTGTGAGTCGGACTCGAGCATGAAGAGGGATCACCGCCAATGTGCGTACGCGATTCTGGGTCTCTTGGCCGATTAGGCAACCCCAGCATATCCAACTCAACGTCAGAGAAGCGAGTGGCATTCTCTTCCATCTGTGTGGAGACCATGGGTGTTTCCAGGACGTCCATCGAGTGGGGCCGGCGGCGGCGCGCGGCCGCTCTCTTGACCTCGTGCTTGACCTCCTCGGCCTTTGCTATCTGCTCAGCACCCCCGTCCATCCATGCTGGTTTTTCCTCGCCATAGTAGCAGGTGATTTGCAATGCCGAACAGCTTCTGCACTCCGGTCGCACCTCGTCGCACTTCTTGCGCCGTAAACGACACGTCCAGCAGCCGTTATAGCTCTTCATTGGGGTCGCACCAGACTCAACACGCTGAAATCTTAGTTAAAATTTACTCAAGCCTCAAAATCCCCGCAGTGCTGCTAGCAGATACGATACCGACACTTAATTTTGCGTAGGACGTCGAGCGAATGATGGGATGGTTCAACCAAGGCTGTCGCACCGCGCGGCATGACTAAGCGGGAGCGTTACGGGTATCCACATTTCCAAGCCGAGTCACCAGGGAGGATTCCCCAATGTCTTTCCCCCGCCTCTCGGGCGTTGTCTAGCATGTATTCTAACTCATTCAATGTACATAATACGTAGCGCGCGGCATGGAATTTTTGAGAGTGGACATATGGCAAGACTTCCATCACTGTCACTGGATGAGAGCACTCCAAAGCGGACCAATAATTCGCCTGACAAAGTGAAGTGTGGGAGCTGACTGAAATGTTGGGCTGCATTTGAAATCCTGGAGCCGGCCTATTTAGGGAAAGGGATATCCAAAGGCGGTTCTATGAGCGGACCCAAACAGCCATCTTTCTATCTTTCCATCTCCCATTCGAAAATTCAGTATTCACCATGGTACGCGCCTCAGTGGTCTGTATATCACACGGAGGAGGTAGGCTTTCAATTCCTCATGTGCGACAAGACTAGCAAAGCAGGTGAACTAATTATCTTTGTACAGGCCCCCTTCCTGTAATCGGTGGACCCGGTCATGGAGACATCATCCATTCCCTAAAAACCCGAGTCCCTAAGATCCTCAAGCTTGGTACTCCAGAAGCCCCGCGAGGCATCGTCTGCGTGACTGCCCACTGGTCTGAACGTCAACCTACCGTCTCATCCGCTAGCCACCATGACCTCTACTATGACTATGGCGGTCTCCCAAGTGAAGCTTACAGCCTGAAGTACAAGGCCAAGGGGTCGCCTGCCATCGCGGAAGATGTCAAGAAGGTTCTTGCGGAGGAAGGTTTGGCACCTATTCTCAATATGAAACGAGGTAAGTCGGGATACCATGTTCTAAATGCCGCTTCTGCAATTACTAGCTGCCCAGGGAAGCAGGGAGCGTCAATGACAAGCTAACAAGTGGATTATGGTAGGTTGGGATCACGGTGTCTTCATCCCCTTCATGCTTATCAATCCGGCTGCGGACATACCCATCATTCAGTTGTCCATCCTCGCGTCTGAAGACCCGGCTCAACATCTCCGAATGGGTCGCGCCCTTTCAAAACTTCTCGACTCCAACATTGCAATCTTGGGCTCTGGCTTCGCATCTATCCACAACAATAGCAAAGTTGTTCCGTTGATAATTAACGATACTAGGGCATCTGCAAAGCTGATCAAGGGCGTAGGCGAATGGAATGCAGCGCTGACAGCTGCAGTCACAAAGGAGAGAATGGAAGATAGGGCAAAGGCACTGGAGGGCTGGAGGGGTTTCGCTCATAGCTATGAGATGCATCCGCCAGGTGCTGCCGACCATTTCATGCCTTTGTTGGTGTGTGCGGGTGCGGCGAAGGACGAGGTAGCTGGGACGTACAAGGATGATTTCTTCGGGGTGGATATTTTGACGTATTATTGGAGTGATATCCATGTTTGAAAAGAAGGCAAATGCAGAAGCGTTGGTCAGTAAATCCCGTGGACGGGTCTTTGATTCCACTACATGTCGAAGCCATTTTCTGCTCTTTTCTTTATAGTGTCGAACTGGGGAGTAGAGCAGTAAGGAGACCAATGGGACTTGAAAGCCCAGAAAACAAAACCACAACTAATTGTATTCTATGGTAAATTGACCTTATACAACTCTTGACTCCTTCTATATGATGCTTACGCCAGTAAGCACCCAGCGGCCAACCACACTTTCGATTGCCAAGCTCTACAAGGTCAAAATTTGATTAGCCCCGTCGTCCAGGAAAGAGAGTTTGTCAATTCAGAAAACATGGGCTAAACTTGCCACAGTATCATCAAATCGCGCTTGATACGGGGGAACGGACATTTTGTATCTGTCTCTGTGACTGCAGATATGAAATCCGGCGCACTCTTCATACAGAGTATTCGGTTACGGTGCGGCTTTTTCGCCTCCGCGATATCCTCGAAGCCCCAGTTGTCAGGTGAGACTTCCACTCTGATCCCACGAGGAAAACCTTCGGAACAGGCAAGCCATGGCTGTCTGGAAGGCTAGATCATTGGCCTTCCGGATATGATTATGGGTGCTGCAGTCTTCTTCGCCATCCCTTTTGCGATAGGGCCATTGGTTGCATGTGCTCCAGTCCAAAAGGTCGAATGGGACAAGAATATCGTAATGCAGCTCTCGAATCCAGCAGCGCCGTGTAGCATGATGACCGGATGTGAGTTCCTGAAATGTCGTGAGAGAGATTCCAGGTTGTCTACCTTGTTTATGGTCTTCGTCACTGTAAACCACCAACTTAAAGTAGATGAGGGGCTCAAAAGCCGTTTGTGAGAATCGGCACACAGAAGCACACGGGGCCAAGGGAGTGTCATCGTATTTTAGAAGATTCGCAATCTGAGTTAACAGTTCCAGGGGTAGCTTTTTTGCCATTTTGCCGGCAAGGTGGCTCGGTGATTTGGTGGAGAATAATGATGAGAAACGCAATTCCTACAGAGTGATTTTTCAATGTATAATATGCGATATAATATATTATATTATATGATATGATTTATGACAGGGAAAGGAAAAAGAGGGATTGGTATTCTCTACAAAGGCTAGCTGACTAGTTAGTTAACGTATTTCACAAGCGGGCCGGCCACACAGTCAATCAATCAATCAATCAATCAAAGTTCAATTAACCTGTTGCAGTCTAACTAGTTACGTATGACTATGCAGGCGCTTCTTCTAACTAAAGCAAGAACTCAAGGCTAAACGCCGAGTATTAGAGAGTATACAGATGCCGTAAAGAGTGTGGAATCAGCCCATTCCTATAACCCGTAAATCCCGTAGATACAAACCTATACTCAACCCCATATGTAAGAACTTATTCAATGATTACCGTGGAGTAAACTACGACATTGCCCATAGACGGGCTAGTAGGCACCCGTGGACTGCCCAGAGGCCTTATATAAGCGGGCAATACCCACTATAGGCATGCCCATAGACGGGCCTACCCTTGGGGCCTACCGCCCATAGACATCGTAGGCGCCTATAGGCCTTTTTAGTAAGTAGAATTCCTTAACCTTGTGACTTATATTATTTATACATTTTACCCCCACATTTTTAAGTAATTTGATTATATAATATAGATAGTAGTAGCATTTATATATAGTAGTAGACTGCGACAATGCCCGTTAAAGTAGAGACACTTTTAGCGTCGCCAAGACATCGGCGGGGCACTCTTGGTAAAGTGGATACTGCCAAGAACTAGTTATGTACATAAAATAGCCTAATAGGGTAATTTTTGCATCAATTTTGCATAACGGTGGGCGATGGGCGTCAAATTTCAAAATGCCCACGGGCCGTGGACACTTCCTAGTGCCCATGGACGGGCGATGTCGCAGTCTAATTTTGACTATACCTTGCTATACATGAGATTTCCGTCATAAATTGTATATTAAGCTTAGTTAGTTATGCCTAAGCAGATTGTTAAATAGTGGAATTTTGTCATTTTAGTTAGAGTCATATTCATCTGTCATTTTTACCATACATTGCTATATATGAGATTTCTGTCATTAACCATGATCAATCTAGAAGGTAAGTGGAGCAGAAGTCCACAGGTAAGCTAGCTGACTAAATTGGAGCGTAAATCCCAATCTTCTGGCCATCCGCACCGAAGCATTCATCCATTATGAACACACAATTTCTTCTCGCAGGTGGGTTCGTTACGCGGTTTTCCGTGTCGGGAAATTTCCCAATATGCCCCAACGCAGCTTTACGAAGCGAAATCTGGAGAGTGCGACGAACCTGAATACAACATGCCATGAATGGTGACTGTATTGCTGAAGAGACTTTTAAGTGATCTAGTCGCTGAGCTGATATGATCACGAAGCTAATTGCCCGTCTCGTCCCAAGTGTACACGTTGTGAAATTCACGAACAGGTAAGCTATAACAATTCTTCCAACTGGTTCCAGCCTTGCTGACTCGGATCGTACAACAGGAGGAGGCCCCCTCATTTTCCCGTCACTCGAGTTGAATGTGAAGCGAGAAAATAACTTGTCTGTTCGAGCTCTCCTACCAGGTTAATTTTGGTCATATCAGCTACGAACCGAGAAGATTAGGCCGTTTATACCGAGGCACCATCACAGCCGAGCCAACTAAAGAGCCAAAAAAATACCGTCCGATACCGTCCCATCTGACCTTACTCCGCGTTGTTCAGATATTCGATGTATACGAACGAGCGGAAACGAACTAATCCGAAATACACGAAGCTGTATCAAGTGGGTGTCAGAAATATCTCCTTTGGAACATATGTCTGGTAGATTTGGATTCCAAGCACCCATTTCTCTATCAAAGCCCAAGAAATATCCAGAAAGTCGCGGTCAGTTATCTATGAACTATATGTGGCTCGTATGTGGCCTCTTACGTATTTGAAGTTTGACAGCATGCATGGATGTTCGTCCTGTTTGGGCCCCGAGGCCTCTGAGAATTTACTTCACCTCATGAAACTGAGAAATAGCGTTACGACTGGTCTTTGCCCTGTTAAGACAGGGAAATTAGGGGGATGTCAGTACAGCACTCCCCATACCCGACGGATACACTACCGAGATGAGACTGGAGGGAAGATTGTACGTATTAGCCATTTGTCTCGCGGAAGATAAAATTTTATAGGCAATGGAATATATCATAGATCTATCTTTTCTTCGCCCCCACAAAGAACAATTTAACCAATTACGAAACAGAGACACAGTATGCTTCATCGGCCCAGAATCCAGTGGTACAGTCAGAAGAGACAGCTGGGTTCCAGGAGAGGAACTGTGCAGCTGTGATGCTGTGCTTTGTTTCAACGGTGGCGCAAGTATCGCCAGCTACATGGGGTGAAAGATGTTAGTTGCATACTCACCTACAGTTGGGGAATGGAAAGGGAATGAAAGAAGAGAGAACTTACATTGCGCAACATAGTACTCGATGCAGTTAGCTGGAATACCAGATTGGGTTGCAGCTGGTGGTGTGACAGTGGTGGATGTAGAGTTTGAGGTCAGAGGTGTGCTGCTACTGATGGCAGTCGTAGCTGCTGGTGTGCTACTAGCTGTAGTGCTGCTCGCTGACACACCAACGCAGTAGTCCTCTTCTAGCCAGAGGCCACTGGTACAGTCGGATGAAACGGCAGGGTTCCAAGCGAGGAACTGAGCGCTTGTGATGCCAAACTGGGTAGCGATAGAGGCACAAGTATCGCCGGCCATAGAGGTGTTAGTATAATGCGAGTATTGAAACCGGAAAGGAAAATAGATACGTACACTGAACCTCGTAGTATGCGTCACAATTGGAGTCGATACCTGTCTGGACTGGCCATGTAGGAGATATGGCTGCAGTCACCGTTGAAATACTAGTGGTGTTAGAACTGTAGTACTCCCAGTTAGTCAAGGGGTCAACACAATAGGCATCCCCAGTGACGAGATCGGAGTCGCAGGTGGTGTAGTTTAGCGAGGGATTGGCATCGACAAAAAGGTGCATGGCAATCGAATTGGAAAGACAAATACTCGAGCAATTGTATCCCAAGCTCGCCTCGTTGACAAACCATGCACCACAATCAAGGGTAGATCCTATGGCTACCGTGACACCAGTCGGTGGGTCCACAATATCGGTCGCATCGGAGGAAGAGGTAGTGGTCAGCGCTTGGCCTGTGTAGTTTCCACCTGGAGCAGAGGCACATAAAACCGAGCCCCAGTGGGGATCAGGTGAGACTAGGTTCGAGCAGTTCCAGGTCAGCTGGGAATTCCAGTTGATGACATCCGAGAATGAGATGAAGTTGGACACCGCCACGCTGGCGCATGTGTCGTTGGATTGCACAGAATAAAGGTCGGTGCATGTAAGAGGTAGGCACAGGCTGGTACCAGTAATGATGTCTGAGCAATTGAGGATATTTGGGTTGGTATAGAACAGAGTGGCCGCGGAGACGCCCTGGGCCAACGCGATTGAGTCACAGGTGTCGCCGTCCGTAGTAATATAGGTATTACCAGATAGACACGTAGATGTGGTGGCCGGCAATGACGCATTAAAAACGCTAGTGGTAGCGTTGAAGTCCGTGACTGTGAGGTTGCAGGTGTTTGCAACGTATTTATACTCTGACTCGAAGTCATCATTGTAAGCACTCGAATAGGCATCCGCCTGCATCATCTCGAGCTTCTTCACATAGCAGTATGAGCACAGATCCGTAGTAGCGATGTCTGCCTGGGAAGTGACATTGTCAAATTTGGCAATAACGTCTAAGTAGAGATAGAGGCTATAGTTAGCACGTTGACGCTGCTGAGTAAACGCAAATCAAAGAACGAGATCTTCTCACCATTGCAGTTTTGGCCGGTCGTTAGATCCACAAAGCAGGACTGATTCCAGCTGCTCCAGACTTGACCAATAAGAGACAAGTAAGAGATACCAGCAATAAGCTCTGCAGAGTCTCCGCAGCTAGTCGACACCGAGTCGTATAACTCCGCGATTGAAGCTTCGCAGGTAGACGCGCAGATCAGGTCTGTCAATGTCTCATTGTCCAAGCTTCCAATGTATCCATCGGTCATCACAGATGAAATCTCATCATCACAGTCAACCGTAGCATACAATGCATCTTCACAAGTCGATGACAGGCCCAAGCCAGACAGAGTCCCGTTAGGGAAGAATGCCACTCTTGCAAAGTTTGTACTGTTGGTGTTCACTGCACGTGTGTGAGCAATTTGTTTAGCGGCATGAAGCCTCCCATGAGAAATTGAATGGAAATTTCCTGCAGCGAAGTAGGATGCCACCCCCAGAAACGATACAAATCGATTTCTCATGTTTGATATGCTGAGCTATACGATGGTAGTCAGACCAAGAACAAAAATCAGATTAATGCACTCAAGACTGCAAGGACTAGAAGGACTTCATACCTTAAAAATAGGCCCGGAGCAAAGCACCCTATTGAGCTTAATCTATTCTCATCTGGTTTGCAATTTGCGACCCAATGTGACTGGCAAAGCAGCCTAGCTACGCTAGGGTAGACCTCATCTCCGAAGCAATCCGTAACGCGTATGCCTTCATCTATTCTCACCTAGTAGAGATGCATTATGGATCCACTTCTTGCCCCGGTGCACCGATGTCCACAGTTATTATTGAAATTTTCCTGTACTGTACAGGTATCCTATTGTCATAACATGTCCGGGCTCAGGTACAAGCCTCGTTCTCCCATCGTCTTCCTCGGATGAATCCCAATCTAACCATGATCCATCGATATCAACTTAAGTAGCAGCAAGCCTAGCTGGTAGGGGCCAAAACCAGCACGATCAAAGTTTCACGCCCGTGGTTGACCTTTTCTGTCAAAGTCTAAGGTTGAATACATAATTGAAACCGGGTATTATACCTTGATCATCCTGCGACTTCGAGTACCAGGCATACCATATATTACATTTAGTCATTTTTACCACTCAGATTGTTGAAATAGCGGGTTTTGTCATTTTATTTAGAGTCATCCATATCTGCCATTTTTACCATACATTGTCGTACAGCTAGATTTCCGTCATTTTCTTCCCCACTACATTGATATCTCGGCCACCCGAGAGATGTTAGCTAGGCCCGCTTTGAGGGTCACAACAACGCCTTTCACGAGCTAAAGTGAGACACTTCATTTGCCATCCACTTACGCCTCCCAACTAAGCTCATTTGCTATAGCGCTAAATTATTTTCCTGTATCGTCCACGCGACGATGGCGCCTCATACCTCTAGAAACGGGTTCTAAAGAATATACCCCTCAAATGCTACCAGGGAATATTCACAATCTAGAAATTCACCTCGAAAAAAGGATTCAAAAGAGCTTTCGAAGAGGCTTCAATATACCGAGGATAAATACGCATACAAAGCAATTAAAAGACTATAATGATGCGGCTTCCAGAGAACATTGTTCGAACCGGATAATCCAAGCAACAGCCCTTGTTCGCCCGAAAGCACTAGGAGTGGCCATGGCTTAGCCCAATCACTAGCGTCTTTTGGTTCGAATACAAGATATCCATCGTGTGTAATGTATCGCATGAGCTGTATCCTCTAATGTACTGTGGTATATTGGTGAATTGGGATGGCACTATATTACGCATACATCTTTGTACTTGACTTGGATACTAGTATATAATCTACCAAAGTGCCGTAACAAATCGGTCATGCTTTCAAATGACCCCTCTACAATGAAGAAGTAGTGTTGGCCCTGCATTCTATCCTCGCTTCTCTCTCATCTCTGTCACTTCTCTCGCCGCTTTTAATCTCTCTGCTCTCTACTCTCCTTCTATTCTTTCTTTTCTTGCATCCCAACATTCACTTATCAACCCATTGCTATATATCCCTATCGTTGAGGCGGATTTACTTCGCTGAAGCAATATGTTAGCAGGAGTGGGCTTGGCGCTCCTCGCTGGCCTGGGATTTCTCTCTTCTGCGATTGCAGATACCACCTGTAGTGCAACAGTGCCATGTGAGATCGGATGTTGTGGCCAGTATGGAGTCTGTGGCATGGGTCCGAGCTACTGTGCATCCGATGTGTGTATCAACAACTGCGACGCCAAAGCCGAGTGTAATCCTGGAAGTTGGGCCTCGGAATATGTCAACTCAACCAATTGCCCCCTTGATGTCTGCTGCAGCAAGTATGGCTTCTGCGGGACGACTGAAGAATTCTGTGGCAATAAGACCGTATCTGTACCATCTTGTGACGCGAGCAGCCAATCGATCACACGAGTGATTGGCTACTACAACTCGGCTGCCGCAACTCGCAGTTGCGGAGGCATGGCTCCCTACTCTGTGCCCCAGGGCGTCTACTCCCACATCTACTTTGCCTTTGGAAATATCAACCCGGATACCTTTGAGGTTATTCCTATGGAACCAAGCGATGAAGCCCTGTATACGCAACTGGCAGCGTTGCAGCTACGCGATCTCGACCAGGAGTTATGGATCTCAATTGGTGGTTGGGATTTCTCAGACAGTGATCAGGCAACAGCTACCACCTTTTCCGATCTTGTCGCCGCGACTACTACCGAGCAAAATGTCTTCTTCACATCTTTAATCAATTTCATGAGTACGTATGGATTTGTGGGAGTGGACATCGACTGGGAATATCCTGTCGCCAGTGATCGCAATGGCCGTGCGGCTGACTACAAGAATTATCCCACTTTTTTGGCCAATCTCAAGAAAGCCTTGTCCGACTACAAGTACGGACTCTCTATCACACTTCCAACCAGTTACTGGTACCTGCAACACTTTGACCTCACGGCGATTGAGCCTTCAGTTGACTGGTTTAATGTCATGACTTACGATCTTCACGGAACATGGGACCTCAAGGATATTTGGACCGGGCCCTACTTGGATGCTCACAGCAATCTGACTGAAATCAAATCTGCTCTTGACCTTTTGTGGGGAGTAAACATCACGGCATCCAAAGTGAATCTCGGGATGGCCTTTTATGGTCGCAGCTTCACCATCGAAAGCTCCTCATGCTCCACACCAGGATGTGAATACCTTTCCGCTGGAACTGCAGGCAATTGCAGCCAGTCCGCAGGAGTCCTATTTAACAGCGAGATTGAGGCATTGATCAGTGATCAAGATCTCACACCCATTCTATACCAGGATGCCGCAGTCAAAACGATTACCTGGAATACTGACCAGTGGGTCTCATTCGATGACGAGGAGACCATGAAGCTTAAGGCTGAGTACGCCAAGTCTGTCTGTTTAGGTGGTGTCATGGTCTGGTCGATTGATGAAGATGATGACTCGCACACTTATTCGAATGCACTCGCTGCCGCTCTCGGAAACAAGGTCAACCTCAACACTTCCACTGGACTGTCTCTCACAGTCTCTGAAAAGTCCACGACGACAAGTAGCGGGTCCTCGCAGTCAAGTTACTGTCGATTCATTAATTGTGGCGAGACATGCCCCAGCGGGTTTTCCGAAATCACCCGCGAGGATAACAAGAAGCAACTCATGCTGGACGCTACCGAGTGTCTGGTATCGGGGTTACAGACTTTGTGCTGTCCAACCTCAAGCACCCTTCCCACTTGCCAATGGCGAGGATTCAATGGAGGAAAGTGCAAAGGAGGGTGTGATGATGGTGAGGCTGAAGTAGGCACTATCACTTCCGGTTGCCGCTCTGGCTACCAGTCTGCGTGCTGTACAATCACCGATTCCACAAAGCCCTGGTCTGAGTGTGCTTGGACATCAAGTTGTGAGCCTGATGACACTTGCCCGTCTTACTATGACAAATTTGTGGTTGGTTCGCGCCAGGGCTGGGGTGGTCGCAAAACGTGCACCGGCTCAAAGACCTACAACTACTGCTGCAAATCTTCAATCCCGAATGCTTTCACCAACTGTGCCTGGACTGGTCATGAGGTACAATTTGTCAACACGGCATATTGCACCGACGCTTGCCCATCAGGATCAATTCGGATTGCTGAAGAAAGTGTTGCAGTATTTATGGGCGCCAACCGACCGGGTAAGACGAAGGGATCGCAGCCTTGCTATTTCGGAAACGAGGCCTACTGCTGCAATGGTACAACCAGTACCAGTTCGACGCGCTTAAGCTCCACAAAATTTGCAGACGAGACAGCATACGAGTTCCACTATTACCTCAATGCATGGCTCTCTGAGCCTACCTGTAGCTCAGCTGAACAGCACGAATACTATTCAAGCCTTTACAAACGGAATGTATTTGAGCGCTCCTCTTCTTTCTCCAAATCGATGAGTCAAGATTTGGTTTACGCCTATGCCTTGAAGTATCTAGTGATATGGATCACCTCCTCCAGACCACGGGCGGATCTAACTGCAGACTTCAACAGCTTGATGTCAACCTACGGGTACGAAGATGAAGCTGCCAATATCACGACTTTGACCGACACGTTGTATGCGTACGGCAGTTGGACAGGGACTCCTGTGTGGGATCCTACGGCTCTGCTTGCTCAAACTCTTTGCAACATTGCTAGGTCCGCAAATGGCGTGGAAAGCCTAGGCGCCGCCAGCGAACTACTATGTGAAATTCAATCTTCATCGTCCATCAGCAAGCGGATGCTTGATGGACTCAGCGAGAATACTCACTCCGAAAACGGCGACCAGCCTACAGTCATCACTGCCATAAGAGGAGTCATTAATGTGAGTAAAATGTCACCCTCACTAAATGTGATCCTAGTCATCTAACGGTTGATGTACTATTAGGAAGACTTGACATTTCACTACGCGCGGTGGATCCAGCCTACCAGTGAGTCACAAGGCTTCGCGCAGGTAATTCTCGAATTGGCGTTTTGGATCGGACCTACGCCTGGTGTCACACCGACCGCGGAGATGCTCGAAACGTACGGTGACAGTGGTGATACCGTCCACCCGGATCTTTGGATTGTCTTCCATCTCCATATCCCACGCTCCAGGGAGACCTTCCATCAAAACTACACGGTGACTGGAGGTATGGCTCTAGGAGTTTCGGCAATGGGCGTCTATCACAGCCAGACGATGCATTCCCTAGGGCGCAATGCCGATCCTAGGGCCGAGTTCCGATATTCGAGCACGTACCCATCATATAACTCGGGCGACATGGAGAACTACAATGGGCGTACTCAATCACTTCGATGTCCCGACAGCAGCCGCTGGTATATCGGTCTCGACTCTACGGAACACCTGACGACGTCACAGGGACTCCCGTTAACATATGCTACGGAGCTCAACGAATTTGTAAGTCAGAGTCGAAACTTGATGTATTCACATTACAGAGAGCATACATAGGCTAACTCTTGACCTGAAGGGCATGTGGCTTGCGACAGAAGGTATCCTCACAAATGTCAACCTACAATACCTCTGGCCAGGGCTTAGTCGATTCCCCCAAGATGCCAGCCTCGCCTCCAACGAATGGACCATGGTGCCTCCCAGTGGCTCTTCCCTTTTCAACCCTGTTGCTGACGCATTCAATGTAAATTGGGGACCAGATGATACCACGGTGGATATCCAAGGCTCAACGTCTGATTACACGAAGAAATGAATAGAACAAACCTGTGATAGTCAGCCCTTGCTAAGCTCTCGGTTTAATCTCAGCTCACTCCTATTCTACCGCCAGTTCATTCAGCTGTCCGTCTCTCCTGATCTTTTTATATTTCCTCTCTTTCTCTTCTTCCTTGTGTTCCTCTTCATATGACTACCTGCTTTGCTTTCGGTGATAGAACTAACTAGTAGGAGTGAGTACTCAGGAATAACAACGCAGGATAGTAGATTGTAGGCTATTCTAGTACCATTAAAGATAATCATCTACAGACGAAGGTGATAATTAAGTCATCAAACATGACTTGCAGCACACTTAGGCATATCTCATCTTGTCATACTTGACGGAGAGGAGTTGTCAGCTAGGGCGTTTAAATACGCGAGCGTTTCCGAACAATACAATCTAGCCGTAACAACCATACTTAAAAGATACAAGTACTACAAATACCACAATACCCGAACATCACCTCTCTAAGTCCGGCAGCGTTTCCTTCTTTTCCTTCTTTTCCTTCTTTTCCTTCTTTTCCTTCTTTTTTTACTTTCCATGGCCTCCCTCTCATTTCTCTATTCTGCAACCTTTAACCCATTACATTTCTTGTCTCATAACATCATTTTTCATGAATGCGTACAGCATCTTTCGCGAAGCGGACCCTGACGGTGATTCCCGGCCCGCCTTCCACAACGAAGATGGAGTACCACTTTACGAGGCCCCTTACCAGGGCCTTTTGAATCACATTCTGTCCAACAACGATCTTGCATCTCTCTTCCTGTATAGTGATAGCCCCACCACGAAGGTCTTTTGGGGAGCATACGAACCGCCCAACAATCATCCATTCATCCTCGCATCCTCAGGAGGCCGGGTGGAGGTGCTCAAGGCCCTAGTGGGTATATATCTGGCAGATTCCACATTGAAAGAACCCATTGATTCTTATCTCGAGCGCATTGAATGCTCCCCGATGAACGATGCATGCGCGGCTGCCAACCGGGACCTAATGCTTTGGTTACTTAACCACGATCCACCGTTAGGGAGCTTGCATGACCGAGTGTGTGGTGACACACCCCTATTTAGTGCCGCTCAAGCATTGGGAGATCAACACGATTACAACGGTACTATCACTGCTAGATATGAAAAGCAGGACCAAATTACACGCACGGAAGACTTCATTTGCTTTCTCCTGGACCTAGGGTGCTCGGTTCCAAACTCCGATCATTATGGACCCACGTATAGGGAAACAGCTTCATTCGACTTGAATCAATCACGCGGGGAGGTGGTCAGTACAGTCCTCGGTGCCGTCATCCCTCATGCCAGCTATCAGATGGTGTCTCGTCTCATCGCTGAGGGAGCTGACGTCCATGCCCATCAAATGTGGAATACTGGCTCCGAAAGCATTGGTTGGGAAGAGAAAGCAACCTCCTTACATATTGCAGCTCTTCACTGGAACCTAGATGGGATTCAAGCGCTAGCAGATAACTTAGGCGATGTCGGCATCGCAGAGATGGCTTCGACGCCCGATGGTTCTGGGCGACTTCCACTCCACTGGGCCTTGGTTGGTGCCAAGGATCGACGAGTGGAGCTTTTTGGCAGAGACGACCAGGAAGAGATTACAGCTCACATTACGCGCACTGTAGAAGTACTCCTGAAAGTCAATCCAGACACGCTCGTCTTGCGGGATCAGGGGGGTTTAACGGCGTTTGATTATGCCGTGACTTCCGAAACCGGCTTAGCGAGTATCCTACCCGTGGTCAAGCTCCTTCTACGTTCCAGCTCAGTTCCTCCCTCAGTAACGGGTTCCCGCAATCACAAAGGCGCCCATTGGACGCTCTTAGGGGCTATGATCGACCACTATGCAAGACGACTCGGTAGCCCTAGTGCCCAACTCTTAGAGTTACTTGTTCTTCTCCTAGAGAATGGAGCTGATGCCCGCGCATGCAACGGAAGATCACAGAATTTATTACATACAATGGCGATGTTCCGTGATACCGATTGCGCGGATATTGCTATCATAGACAAATTACTGGAGTTTGTCGATGTTAACCATGTCGATGGCAACGGCAATACGCCACTTCATCTCATGGTTAGACGTCTAAATCGGATCAACACCGTTCGACATATAATCAGTCAGGGAGCGAACGTCAATTTGGTCGATAAGAAAGGAAATTCTCCTCTCCATGAGACAATGCATGGTACACTCGTCCAGAGGGTGTTTGAGGACGGAGACGTCGAGCCCATTGACCCTGCTGAGTTAAAATCAATTCGGGTGGAGATGATACAGGTCTTGGTGGATGCTGGTGCCTCAATGGACCTTCCAAATGAATCTGGGCAGACACCACTGCAGGTTCTCGATGAGATGACAGCAATAGAAACGCGAAGACTGCAGAACAGGCGAGGCCGGGGACGAGGAGGAAGACGACCTAATTAGGAGTCGCGGTTTTGATCACATGTTCGTTAATGAAGGACCAAATCCAGCATGTTGGTTACAAACAAGCAGGCATTTCGAAGCGAAAATGAGTCAAGGCCGTTGATAAGGACAAGGAATTCCGTATCGATGATCAAAACGGACGTCATACAAAACCATTACTAGAACGGCATCACAGCTGTCCGGGACTCGTTTGTACCTCGGTATAAGTGCACATAGACCTACCTAGGTACCTAGGTAGGTGTCTGTCAGGGATATACATGAAGCATACGGAACGGATGGAGATATGATCTGCGCGGGACCCACATGGTGTATATGGGTTTCCCTTGAACGACGAGGAAGCTGCCTTTCTTTTGCTTCCTCGCGCTACGTCTTGTATCTAAAATCAACTATAGTTGTGCGCTTTATCTACCGGCACTCGGTTTTGAGTTACCACCGTTGCAAATATGTAACGGTCGCGTACTTCTCTATGGGTTTAGCAATTAGAATTTGATTCATTCGGTTGCTAAGCTTGTTCCTAAACTCTATATCACGGCTATGTGTCAAAGTCCAAGGTATAATACCCGGTTTCAACCATGTATTCAACCTTGGACTTTGGTTCCATTAGCAGCAATTACTAAGTTTCTGCATGGCAGAAACCCATTATCAAATTTGGCCCATTTCGGCTGCCGTAGATATCGGCGCGGAAGGCCCCATAAAATCCCTCCGCTTCAATCCGTCAACCACCTCACCACCAATGTCTCACGAAACAGACGCCCTGCTGGGCAACAGACGCTCTAGATTGTCTCCGCTATATTGGGTATCCAAACACCTGCGCAGCGACCTCGACCCCACGCACGGCGACATGGTCCTACTATTCTGTTACGTCATCACCGGCCTCCTTGATAACTCCACAGTACTCATATGGGATTCCTTCGTGAGCATGCAAACAGGCAATACTGTTTACTTCGGCCTTATTCTCATTAGCACTAAAGACGATCGCTGGATTAAATCCGGAGTAGATATTCCCAAATGATAAATTGATCTTTTTATAATTTCGGGCTTCGAATGTTCCATTGTTCGACGGCATATGCCTTAAGTGAAAGTGGTAAGAGACAGGCTAGGATGCTGTTATTATGGCAACAACAATATGATATGGTAGTGGATTTATGATGTTGACAATGACTGTTCATTCCATCAATTGGCCCAAGTGGTCGAGCAGTTTCCTGGTCTAGCGGTTATGATTTTCCGTTAACAAATGCGACTAGCATATGTTCCGGAAAGGTTCTGGGTTCGATTCCCAGGGAAACTATTTTTTGTATCTGCTGTTTAAATGTTAGCAGAGGTACTTCCATTTAGTCGATTTTGTATCAAATATAGAAAGTTGGCCAATTGTGGGAGTTCAAAGTTCTTTTTTCCCTTTTTAGTCTCAATCAAGTATAGACACTATGCAGACTATCTAGATCTACGTGACCTTTTCCCCAAAAAGATAATTGCATGTGTTTAGTGATATATATTATCCAACCTAGTTGCATATATCAACTATGGTATACTGTCTAATATATATTGCCACATGAACGTGATGTCAAATACAAATGAAACTATGCTACTTACTCCATACATGTATCACGATCAAATGAAGTGCTGCACATATATGCTAGTATTATTTGGTTATACATTAAATTTCAAAGCCGTCTGAACTCCTCGCATGGAATAGAAGCCCCTATCCACGGACTTCATTTCCACCCTTCTAGATGATCCCCAATTCGTGAATTTTTAATGAAAACTGAAATCGTGATAACAGCACCGGATGCCATCGGTTGAAAGTGACTGCATGCAGCCTGAATTGAAATGTTTGCCTACAATACAGCATGCAGAATCATGCACATTGTATGTAGAGCAAGGCGTAAGCGACATTAAACTGCATTGGCGTCAGTATCCTCTGCGAGCCTAGATGCCGAATTAGGGTTACCATTGAGCGCCCAATTCCATGTTAATTACGAATTGACTTGAATAGATAATATATTACCCATTCAGAGATGAGTTTACAGCGAAAATGACAGTTTAGAAGAAGGGAATCAATTGATATATTTTGTTCAAATCTATCCAATAACGGACAATTTACTCCAAGCGCAGCTTCTCAAACTCCTTAACCTGCTCCTCGAGACGGGCAGCCTCGCCCTCAGCATCACGCAGACGCTTCTCCTCCTGCTCACGGACCTCGGCCTTGACCTTTTCCTTCCAGCCAGGGCCGTTGATGATACCCTGGGACCGGCGTACAGTCTCACGGGCCTTGTCGAGGCTAGCCTGGGCCTTCTCCTCCTGCTCCAGGGCAACTTCCTTAGAGACGCGAAGGTAGACAGCAGCCTCGGAACCGACAGCAGCAACCACGCAGCCAGAGGGAGGGTTCTTGTTCTCTGGGCCGAGGTGGGATAGCTCGCCGAGGGTCTTACCACCCAGAGACTTGATGGTGTTCATCTCCTCGGAGACGGTCTTTTCACTGGTAGCGTCGTAGGTCTGGATGATAATATCGCCCTGGGTCTTGATGTCGTACTGGGACAGGATCGAGCGGATGGCCTTGGAGGTGTTGAGGATGAGCTCGTAAGCCTCGGCGGCGGCCGGGTCGTCGAACTCGGCGAGGTACTCGGGGTACTTGGCCTTCATGATCGAGATGGTCTCGTCGCCCGCGCGGCGGGGCAGACGCTGCCACAGGTGCTCGGTGACGAACGGCATAATGGGGTGGATCAGGGTCAGGGCACCCTCAAGGGCTGTGTAGAGGGTCTGCTTGGCAGACTCCTTGGTCTCGGCTGAGGCCTCATCCGCCAGTAGGGTCTTGGAGTTCTCGAGGAACACATCGCACAGCTGGGAGTACCAGTACTGGTAGGAGATCTGAGCGGAGTTGGAGAAATCACGCTGCTCAAGGACCTCGTTCATCTCCTTGGCGGCGGTGTTGAACTTGTGCAGAATCCAGCGCTCGGAGAGAGATTCATTGCCAGTCTTCTTAACACCAGCCTGGGGCTTAAAGTCATCGCCCAGCTTGCCGAGGACGAACTTGGTGGCCTGGTAGATCTTGTTACAGAACTTACGGTAGCCGTGAATGACCTGGATATCGAAAGCAATATCACCTCCTGAAAATCATCATTAGTAAATATAATCAAACGGGGACATGGGATGAAACATACCACCAGTGGTGTAAGAGACAAGGGCGAAGCGGAGAGCGTCGGCACCACACTCGGGGATACCCTTGGGGAAGGCCTTCTTCTGGTATCTGGTAGCAGCGGCAATCTCTTTATCGGCGATGTTGCCCAATTGCAGCTTGTCGTGAAGAGTCTGCAGCTGAATACCCTCCATAACATCCAGAGGATCGATAACGTTGCCCAGAGACTTGGACATCTTGCGGCCATCAGAATCTCTGATGAGGGAGTGACAGTAGACCTCACGGAAAGGAATCTGGCCAGTCATCTTGATACCCAACATGATCATACGGGCAACCCAGAAGAAGAGAATATCCCAACCAGTCTCCAGAACGGAGGTGGGGTAGAGGTTCTCGAAGTCGTGGGTCTTGGTGGGCCAGCCAAGAGTAGAGAAGGGCCACAGGCCAGAAGAGAACCAAGTGTCGAGAACATCGGGGTCACGAACCAGAGAGAACTTCTTACCAGGGAACTTCTCCTCGGCCTTCTTGCGAGCATCTTCCTCGGTACGGCCAGTAACCCAGAGGTTACCGTCACTGTCATCGCCATCCTCGCCTTCGATCTTGACGAAGTAAGCAGGAGCCTGGTGTCCCCACCAGAGCTGACGGGACAGACACCAATCATTGAGGTTGCGCATCCAGCGGAAGTAACTCTTCTCGGCGGACTCGGGGCGGATAATGATGTCGCCATTCTCAACGGCATCAATGGCAGGCTGAACCAGGCTTTCCATCTTCATCCACCATTGCGGCTTCATGATAGGCTCAATGACATCGTTGGACTTGGAGCAACGAGGCACCTTCATGGGGTTGTGCTCCCACTTGACGTACAGACCCTTCTCCTTGAGATCCTCGATGACCTTGTAACGGGCGTCGAAGCGCTTCATGCCAGCGAAGGGACCAGCGTGCTTGTTGAAGGTACCATCGTCGTTCATGACAGAGATGAACTCCAGGTTGTGAGCTTTACCGCGGTTGAAATCGTTAAAGTCGTGGGCAGGGGTGATCTTGACGGCACCAGTACCGAATTCGGGCTCGACTTCGGGATCAGCAACGATAGGGAGGAGACGATCCAAGAAGGGGTGGCGAGCGCTCTTGCCGATCAGGTGCTGGTAGCGCTTGTCGTCGGGGTGGACGGCAATACCAGTATCACCAACCATGGTCTCGGGACGAGTGGTAGCAATTTCGATGCGCTCGGTGCTTCCATCAATCTCGTAGCAGAAGTGAGTCAGGACACCGAACTCGACCTTCTTGTCGTAGCCAGGCACATCGAGAAGGGTGCGGCCCTCAATCTCCTTGTTGTCGACCTCGAGGTTGGACAGAGAGGTGTTCAAAGCCACACACCAGTTGACCAGGCGGTTGGCACGGTAGATGATACCCTCCTCGTGGAGGCGAACGAAGGTCTCAGTCACAGCAGCTGACAGGTTGGGGTCCATGGTGAAGGCCTCGCGGCTCCAGTCGAACGAACCTCCAAGTCTGCGCAGGGCGTTCTTGATGTTCTTGTGGTATTCATCCTTCCAGTCCCAGATCAAGTTGACCATGGCCTCTCGGCCAATGTCGTGGCGAGTCTTCTTCTCCTTCTTCCACAACATCTTCTCGACAACGCTCTGTGTTGAGATACCGGCGTGGTCCATTCCAGGAAGCCACAGGGTAGTCTTGCCCTTCATTCTTTGCCATCGGATCATGGTATCCTGGAGGGCATTGGTAAGGGCGTGGCCCATGTGAAGAGAACCGGTAACATTGGGAGGGGGAATGGGGATGACGAAGGAGCCTTCCGGCTTAACCTTGCCATCAGGTCCGAACTCGGGCTTGAAGAGATCACGCTCCTCCCACCATTCGAGACGACCGGCCTCGATGGCAATGGGATCGTAGGCATCAGCGGTCTTGTCCTTCTCGGGTTTCGCCTTCTTCTCGACCTTGGGAGCTGCAGCCTTGCTGGCAGCAGCCTTGGCCTTGGCCGCCTGCTTCTCCTCGAACTTCTTGTTCTTTTCGGCCTTCTTGCGATCCCTCTCCACTAGAAATCACCCACAGTATCAGCAAATGCTCATGATATGACAATGACCTCCGAGGGAAGGTCTCAATATAGATTTTGGTGGCAACATACACTCCTTCTCGGTCTTCACCTTGGGAGCTCCGGCAGGTCCGCCCTGCTGACCCTGGGGATCTGCGGCGGCATCGGTGATCTGGGGGGTTGCGCTGGTTACGGGAGCCGTAGGCTCACCCGCTGTTCACTATAAGCTTCTGCGACATTTGAGAATGAGTCATGAAACTCACTGGGGGTTTGGGTGGTAGAGTTTTGAGCCATCCTGGAGAATGCACGATATTGAGGA